CTGGAATACATATTTTTGTACCAAGGAAGAGGTACCCTTCTTTGCGATGAAACAATTTATGCGGTCTGTCCTGGCAAAGCAACCATACTTCACTGAAGTCTGTATCATTGGCATAGAGATCTCTTATGGCCTCAAATCCAATCAGGTTCGTGTGCAACGCTAGGAGCAGAATGTAGCGGCGGCTAAGAGCTAGCATCCGCCACTTGATTTAGTGTACCCGACTTATGTTGTAGCACAAATTGGAAGGCGGCTAAGAATTCCGACCAGGTGGCATGCCTTCCCTTTAATTTCTTCTGACTCTCTATGAATTTTAAGGCCGCATGATCCGTCAACAGCACAAATTCCTTATGTAGAAGATAATAACTCCAATGGTTTAGAGCCCGGACAATTGCATAAAACTCCTTATCATATGTCGAGTATCTCTGTCGAGTCTCATTGAGCTTTTCGCTAAAATAAGCTATGGGTCGTCCTTCTTGACTCAATACCGCCCCCACGCCCACATTGGAAGCATCACAGTCGACCTGAAATATTTTGCCAAAATCAGGAAGGCGTAGGACCGGAGCAGAGGTCACATTATTCTTGAGTTCATCGAAGCTAAGCTATGCTGCTGCGGTCTAGTGGAAAGAATCTTCTTTTAGTAATTCAGTAAGCGGGGCGGCAATAGTACTGAAGTTGGCAATGAATCTGCGGTAGAATGAAGCTAGTCCATGAAATCTTTGGACGTCCGTGAAGGAGCAGGGATTGGGCCAGCTGAGGATCGCTTCGACCTTATCCGAATCCACTTCGATACCTTCAGCAGAAATGATGAATCCCAAAAACCGAATTCGTTTGTCCAAGAACTGACATTTTTTTTATGGCAGTATAACCTCTGCTCTTTAAGAATTTGGAAGACATGTCTCAGATGCTATAAATGAGACGGAACGTCGGGGCTATATACCAGGATGTCGTCAAAGTAGACGATTACGAACATGCTCAAAAACGGTTGAAAGATCTGATTCATGAGGCGCATGAAAGTGCTGGGGGTGTTTGATAGCCCAAATGACATTACTAACAATTCATAGAGTCCGTCCCGCACCTTAAAGGCGGTCTTCCACTCATCGCCTTCTCGGACTCGTATCTTATGGTATCCGCTCCTCAGATCAATTTTTGAGAAAATGGATGCACCTTGCAGCTGATCAAATAGATCGTCTATTCGTGGAATGGGAAAACGGTATCGCACCGTAATCTTGTTGATCGCCCTGCTGTCGATGCACATCCGGTATGAACCATCCTTCTTTGGTACCAACAATGTCGGTACCGCACAAGGGCTAACACTCGGTCGAATGTATCCCTTATTGAGTAATTCTTCTACCTGTTTCTGTAGTTCTTGATGTTCATTCGGTCGTAGTCGATAGGGTGGCCGGTTTGGCAACGTAGCCCCTGGAGTCAGCTCAATAGCATGCTGGATTTCCCGCAGGGGAGGCAATCCGGCAGGTAATTCTTCCGTCCATACTTCTTTGTATTCATGAAAGAGCGGCTGAACCTCGACTGGCACGGTGGCGGTTTTCTTCTCCGCCTCTTTGACAAGTATAAGGTATCCCCCATCGGCTTGTTGAATGGCCCTTAGACATTCAGTCTTGCTGACCAAGAGCTGCCCAACCGTGGTTTCTTCAGACGTTGCTTTAAAAGGCATGAGTACAAACGTCTCCTGGCCTTGTACCAACGTATAGGTATTGGCTAACCCATCATGCATAGTTTTCTTGTCAAATTGCCACGGTCTTCCTAATAGTAGATGACACGCGTCCATGGGCAGAATATCACACCACACTTGATCTTTGAATTTGCCAATAGAGAAATGGACCAAACAACGTTTGGTCACCTCGACTTCGTTCCCCCGCTGAATCCACGACAACTTATATGGATGTGGGTGTTTTTCGGTAGGTATCTGCAGTTTGTCTACCAATGTACACGAAGCAATGTTCTCGCAGCTGCCACTGTCAACAATGATTTGGCAGACACGATCATGAATGGTACCTCGGGTCCGGAACAGACTGTGGCGTTGTTCTTGTTTTTCCTTCTGACTGCTAAGCAATCGCCTCAAGACAAGAAGATTTCCTTCATCCGCACTGATGATGGTAGGCTTGGCCAGGGATGGAGAAGTCACCAACTCCTCACTTTGGATTTCATCCTCCTGTTCGGTCTCTTCTTCCAGAACGGTAATAATTCTTCTAGTGGGACAATTAGATGCAATGTGCCCAAAGCCTTGGCACTTGAAACACTTCCGCGTCGGTGCACTGCTCGTGCCTCCGGAAGAAAAAGGACCTGGGCGGCCCGGGGATCTTTCTTGAGAGGACAATGATTTTTCTTGCGATGTGGACGTTACTCTCACACCCTGAGAAGCTTTGTCTCCCGCTTGTGGACCTCCGAAAAGAGCACCGCGCGAACGGGTCGATTGGAAGGGCAGATTGGATCGTGCATACGACTAACCATTGAGGATAGGGGCTATCGCCAATACACCCCGATGGGTAGTAATATACACAACCTAGTCACGGGTTTCCCCCACCCGATGCAAGAGCTCGAATAGGTTTTAGTAGATTGTGGGGACCAAGTTTCCCACGGGCGCAAGCCCTCGTGGTTAATTACATCCCAGGCCGAACCGAGACCTCTAACCTATTTTCGCTTAGATCTCTCAAACCACTCGACGAAACGTCATGAAATTTTAAACACAGGTAATAAACATGATGAGCATCAATGGGGGATGCTTGGCTTGACCTAAAAAGCACTTTCTGAAACGCTATTTTAACCCTAAGTGTTCTAAACTAGGGTTTGCGATATACCTCAATCCACACGGTGGATTCGGGCGATCTTGGGCTCGTTGGACTCGTAGGAGATGCAGGAACGTTTCTCTAGTTGACGTCGAGATCCAAAACTCGCTTGATCGATCGGGATTCGTCCTGGAACGTGAATATGCTCGGTCTTCGCCGGAATCCGGTCGGCGACGGCTCGAGATGGTCAGATCTTGATCGGAGAAGGTCGAGAAGAGATGTGGGAGCGCTCTCACAAAATCTCAGAGCCTGAGATGGTCTCTAGATCGTGCAAGAGCAAAAAGATCCAAAAATAACCTAATTTTCTTCTATTTAAATCCCTTAACCTATCTTGAACGGCCTAGATCTAATCACCAGCTATTTTGGGAGGGAAATAGAGCCAGGAGGCCGAGGTTTTGAATTCCAAAACATTTGGAGGCTTTTAATTGCAATTATTGGCCATTAATCACATTAAAATAGGTTAATTTGACCTATTTAAGACTTGATTTGAGGTCAAATCAGTCAATTAGGGCCAAGGTGAGTGAGGTTCGAGCCATGAGGGGGTCTAGATCGGATTTAAATCGATTTGGGGCTCTAAATGGGCTAAGTGGTCAACTCTGGTTGACTTGGTCAACCGGATTGACCCAAGGTCCAAGTTCAGGCTCAACAGACTCGACTCGACTCACGGAACCCATTGGAGAAAGTCTTGGGGTCTGGCTTGGTCAATTTGACCAAGTCAACTCTCCGGGCCCGAGTCTAGGCAAAATCGAGGTCAACACCACTAATTCCTTGAATTTGAACTGTGTCCCCTTAGAAGCTTTCTGTTGTCTTTCAACTTTAAGGGCGAGAGTGATCACGTCCTGCAGAGTCCAATACGGTTGTAACTGTACCACATTGGCAATAGTGGGTTGTAGACCTTCCAAGAATCTGGCTATAGTGTTTTCTACCGGCTCATTCAAATCACATTTCAGAGCCAGCTGCTCGAATTCCGCCACATATTCTTCCATAGAGAGCTGATGCTGTTGAAGGCGGTGGAGTTTTAGAAACAAATCTTGGCGATAATAATCGCTAAGATATTTGTGTTGTAACTCTTTCTTCATCTTTTCCCAACTAGTGATCTTGCTTTTTCCTTCCCTAGCCCGATTTCTTTTCAGATTTTCCCACCAGAGGGAAGCACTTTTCTTTAATTTGATTGCTACCAACTTAACGATCCTCTCGGCAGCCACTTCCTTAAATTCAAGAACTCGTTCCACCGTATGTAGCCAATCTACGAATTCATCAGGATCCATTCGGCCTTCAAACGTGGGAAGATCAATTTTAATCCCACTGTCATCTCGAGCGAGCGAACGTTCTTGCCGCTGTCTTCTTGGTTGTAGTTCATCTTCGCTAGAGGCTTCTTGGTGAAACGGATTGACGTCCTCTTCTTGTCGAATGTCCTCTTCTTGCTGATTTCTTCTCGTCAGTTCTTGTTGCAATCTCTGAATTTCCCTCTGTAAATCTTCAATCACCGTCTCGTGAACAGGACGCTGCCTGTTCCTTCGGGGAGGCATCTTGCCAGCTCTGATACCAAATGACACCGCTCCGACTCCACGAAACGTGACAAATGGCCTCCGGCGATCACCACCCGGCTTCTGCTACGCCACCTTGTTTCACCACCTAAAGAATTCAGGATACAGAATAATAGGGAAAACGTAAACAGGAAAAACACAGGAACAATTAGTTATGTATTTCTAAAATCTTATCAAAAAACATCCATTTACAGGTAGTCGTTGGAATATATATACACACGGATTAAAACTAAGGCTACACATTATTAAAAACAAACAGCTACACAGTCAACGTCCCTAACGATACTCCAGCTTCGCCTGTAGCTCCGGCGTCAAATGTTCTCTTGAGATTGGCTCCCTTATCATTAAATTCTTTCAACCACACTATGTAATGTGTTTTATATGATACATTGAGCCAATGCCTTCCCCCGTAGAAGAACACCATTTATAATTGACTATAAATACTAGTTAAATCATTTTAACTGGGCCAGACCCCGTGACTTTTTCCCTTTTTAGAATTTTCTAAGTAAAATTTTTGGTGTCTCTTATGACTCTCACACCCTTTTTCTTTATCTGTTTGTGTGCTGAATTTTCTCACCGCCAAAATTCCACGTCGACATGGCCGCCGAAATCAATGGGATAATTATATGAACAACTGTCTCTTGCTTTGCTTTGGCCCCGCGATCATGTAATAATTAATATGATAAAATTTCCTTCTCTAGTACATACACCCCAGCCGGCTCTCTAGAACTACGAAACAGAGGATTTCTCCTTTTACTCCCGCGCCTTCGCTTGAGAAGCCGGCCATCTTTATCCAGAAGTTAAGAGAAGAATCCCCTCATCGCTGCTATCGTCAAAGGAAGGTGAGAGAAGGGAACCGCTCCTCAATTCGTCCCTGTGTTCCAAGGCACGTTCCTTTATCTCTTCTTTTCATTTTTTTGGGGGGGATTTTTTCCATTGCGCTCTCATTTCTTATTCTGATCCGATTAACGCGATAGACATTGGTCAGTAGAAACTAGGTCAAATCGTATTGCACTAAACGACGCCAAATCTTGCTTCCGCTCCGTTCATGGAAGGGCCTAGAGGCCGGAACTGGAGGGCCAAGTTTTCGATGCATATCTTGATAACCTTGTGCTTTGCTGTCTGTTTGATCTTTAATTCGGAAAAGCTACCTTTGGTTGATTTAAAGATCAGAGTTTGTGGCATCTTGGAGACAGAGGATGCACAGCATGTCGGGAGATTTTCGAAGCTTAGTGCTGCTGGCTTGGTGATGTGGCCTATCTGTTTCATCGCGGATCGGCTGATAAAGATGCTCGGAGAAGGGAAAATAGGAGCAAAGTGGTGTGACGCGGCCTTGGCGCGATCTAATGGTGTGGATGCTTCTGCAACGTTTCCTGCTAGTTCGCACTTTGTGGATGTGGGTTTCGTTTTCTTTGCATTGATTGTGCTTCTTCTAGATGAATTTCTGAATCTTGACATCAGCACTGACAACACTAATTGGGTGATGGTCCGGTCTTTAGGTTCCGCATGTGCGGCAGCAGTTTCACTGGGATTGCGGACTTGCTTGCGTTTTGATGGTGCTGAGGACTGTTGGAATAGGGCACATTGGCATTCATGAGCTCGTGGATCTTTGTTCCACAACAAGGTAGATTGGGTTGCGTGATGTTGTCTAGAGTATAAATTTTGAATCGGGGGTATGAAATACCTTTTTTTTTTTTGGCTTTTCAAATCTTACTTGTCAATGCTATTATCACGAAATTTGATAAGATAGGCGAACCTTGTGTTGGAGGCTATCTTTTCTTCAGCTTTTCTCACAAAATACAAAATATAAAATGATAATCCTTGATTGCATCATTGTCCGTCTTTATGTTTCCTGTTCTGTTGATTTCCTCCATCAACGGTTTGGATTGCCTTACTTTTCTTATGGTGTTAACCTTTTATCATGCTGCTTGCTCGATTGGTCACGCCACTGATCCATTCCTTGCTCTAGCTAGTTCTTGTTTTTGTGTTGTTCTTTTCTAGTTTTGTTGGGTCCCTAAGCAAATCAAGGAGTCAAAGAGTTTATTCAATCAGAATTTTTGAATGATGTATTGAAACTTGTTGTCTTTGAGGAGATCTTGATAGCTTTTAAGTATTTTCTTATTTTGAATCCTCTGTATGATATAACAAGAACCTTGAGCAATGCAAATTTGATTTGACATTGACCATTGAAATAGATATCCAGTTTTCCTCCTCTCGTGTGTGTAATTATTGGATATATATTGTTTGAGTGCTTGAAAGGTGTGAACAATTATTTTTGGGTGAGGCTCCTTGTATTGACATTTTTCTTCCTTTTGGGATGCTTTTTATCAATTTTATCTTTTAAAATTATTTAGTCATTGGTCCTAAGTTTGTAATTAAAACTTTCTTGAGTGAGATATATGTGGGTTTTATTTTTAAATGCATATGCATACAATACTCAAGGTGTAGAGAAATTCACACTAAAAAGATGTTCATATGGATTGCTAAGATTTCGTTTGTGATAATTTTTTTATTATTTTCTAAAGCATCTTTCGAGTTCAAAATTTTCTTGAATTAAAAATTTTTAACTTAAAGTTGCTTAGAAAGTAGTAAGAAAGCTATTCCAAATGAAGCCTAAATCTATATGGATACAAATACAAGCATCAATTTATGCTAATGAAAAAAAATAATGAAGAAAATGCAAAAAATATCTTACATGTTTATACACCTAGTTTGACACAACATTACTTGAAGTGCCTTGTAATACTTTTTCATGTATGTGTTAGATCGAGCCTACAGTCGGTCCGACGGGACCGGCTTACGCAAAACTGGGAACGTAGGCGATCTGAGGGTGATGAAGCTGAAGATACCTATTTTTTATGGAGAGAATGCCCATGGGTGGTTCTACAAGGTGGAAATATACTTTACCGTCAACAGGTTGACGGAGGGAGAGAGACTGATTGCATCTGGGATGTGCTTGGAAGGGAAAGCTTTGGTACCTATGGAGGGATAAGAGACGATCAATAAGGACCATGAGAGAGTTTAATGACTGCCTGTTGGAACGTTTCCATACCAGTAGGGGAGGGGACTTCTACGAGCAGTGCTTCGCTTTGATGCAGGAGGGGATAGTGATGGAGTACCGTGAGCAATTTGAGTACCTTGCCAGTTGATTGGATCGACTTCCAGAAACTATACTGGAGAGAAACTTTATGAAGGGACTGAAACTCAAGATCCGCGTAGCAGTTAGAGTGAAATCGGGACTTAGGAGAGTCTATGCAGCTAGCTCAATTGGTGGAGGATCAGGGGCACCTAAAAAAAGGAGCAGGAGTCAACAGTTCACTAGGCTCATACAGGATGATCACCACCTTTTTAGCACCTAAGGAACCAACACTGGGTACTCTTAGGGGTGTAAACGAGTCGAGTCGAGTCGAGTATTTGCCTTATCAAGCCTGGCTCGTTTAGTCCTTAATGAGCTCGAGCTCGAGCTCGAGCTCGAGATCGAGTTCGATTAGTAGGCTCGAGCTCGACTCGTTTAGAAAATATTAAGCTCGACTCGAAAGCTCGAGCTCGTTTGAAAAGCTCGAGCTCGAGATCGAGCTCGTTTGAGAATTACCAACGCATGTGATTTCCTTTGAGCTCTAGAAGCGTCTAGAGATTTGGGAGAGAAAGATTGATGAGAACATCGACAGACGATATCGATGAGTCTATAAGCGTAGGAATCGTAGATCGATTCACAGTCTTTATTTTGTATGCATTTATGTATTGTAGTTTATTTATATGCTAGTTATGATTGTACCCTTTTTTTGAGTTTGCTTGAGTTGTAGCCCAAGGGGCATTTGAGTCATTGTTATTTTATTTTCTAGGCTTATATATTGTGGCTTCTTCTATTGTAAAAGGATGATGATTATGAATGAAAAATTTCAACTTTTCTTTGTTGATCTCTGTGTGAGTTCTTGAGAGGAGAAATCCTAGAAGAGGGTCTTGTAACACCCGTTAGTCGCCGGTGGATCCCGGGACTCGCGGTTTGTCATCTTCTAGCCCTTCACATCCGACCACCTTATCCACCCTCCCTCCATCGCTAACCAATCCAACCACCACCTAACCGACCGGCGTCCTCCTCCCTTCTCCCTCCCTAGGCCGCCGACCATCTCTCACCCCACCCCACGCCGTCGGCCACCCCGCCTACACACCCAAACCACGGCCTAGCCAACCCTAGCCCCACCGCTGGCCACCCCCTTCCTATTCCCTTGATGATGAAATCAATCATCATTAACACCTATCTAAAATAGCCTAATTGGTTTGGAAAGATTTAAATAATTTGAAATTTGAATTTCGAATTTCAAATACTTTCCTAAACTAAGAAAGTTAAATTCGGAAAGTTTATAATTTGGGATCTAATTTAATTTTAAATTAGATTAGTTATTCCTATTTCATCTCTAATTAATAAGAGTGCATTAGAAAACTATTAAACCCCTCCCAATCTCTCCCCCTTTCCTCTCCATGTCGCCCGCCCCCCAAGTCCAAAATTTTGAATTCTAATTCTTCCCTCCATCTCATTTAATTCTCTTATTTTGATTACCTTCCTTGGTAATTAATTTCAAAGAGGATTTAACAACCTAATTTCACCCAACCTAGCTACCCCTTTCATTCCACCCAACCCAAGTTGCCGACCCTCCCCTTGCTAGCTCACCTTCTTGGAATTCCCTCACATCTCATGTGCTCTCTTGCTGGGAAAGAAGTCGAGCACCTCTCTTCCAATGTTCTCCTAGTGCATGGCCGATCCCGACATTGATCACGGGTTCGTATATGATAATCAAGGAAGGCGGACATTCTTCGATCTCCGTTCTTTGATTTAAATTTGGGCGTTGACGACTCCATGGAAGGCTACATTGATCGCATCATCTTCACGTTGGCACCGCCAATTGAGGAACACCTCGCAATCAGATCGTGGATGATCGTGGGACGCCCACCAATCCATCCGTCGCCGCCTACCTTTCCATCAACGAAGTTCTTATGCTCTTCCTTAGTGGTGATCTCTTTTCTAGTGTGGAGCATCTTCTTCTGTTAACCCCACGAGTGAATGAGTGAGAAGATCCTCAAGGTGAATCTCTCATTATTAAATTGTGGATTTTTGTTATGCGCTCATAAAACTTACTCTTGTCTTTGAAGTTTGATCAAATTGTCTTGGTTAGTCTAAATTGTACTTCTTTGCCTAAGCAAGTTGAAAACTATGAATTTCTAAGATCTTTCTTTGTTGTAAACAATAATTTTATATTGGGAAGTTTTAAACAATTGCTCTTCTTAATTTATTGTTAACTCCTGGTAGTATCACATCAAAGATCCTCCTCTCGAATATAGGATCAATTGTATCTTGTATTTTCTTCCGTTTATTTGATTCTTGCAATAAAATTCTTGTTTGTCTCTCATTTTCCATTGGATTTGTGGAGATTATTCGCAGTTTTTCCGAAATTGGTAGGATTTACTTGAGATCTTCAAGTGTTTCCTATTACTTGAGAAAGATCCTCCTCTCATTTTCCATATGATATACTATTATATCTTTGTTGGTTAAATTTGAAAGTTTTACCAGCTTTTGAAAATTCTATCTTAGAGATTAGGTCTATCAGATGTGGCATACGAAGATGCTTATCAATTTTTTTTTTTTCTTTGGTATATTCAACATGTTGAGGAGTATTTCAACATCTGAGCACAAACTATAAGAGAATTATCAGATTTGTATTCAAAATCCCTTTTGAAATATTGATGAGATGTCACCATGAAAATTTATTGTTTTGCTGCCCTTAGGAATAGATGGATTATTGTTTTTAAAATCACATACTTCAAATATTTGTTTATGAAAATCTGCTTTCCTTTGCGAAGGCATTTATAATTTTTATACTGTCAAGGAGATTTCCATGGTCCATTAATCTATTTATCTACGTATTTGTGATCCTTTCTCCTATGTTCTTTTTCTAAGCCTCAATTGATCAGCCTTATATTTTTTTTTGCTGTGTTGATTGATGTATTTTCTTTATGTTTTTCAGTGTTTGGACGGTTGATCTGGCATATCTTTTGAAAAGGTTTTCAATTAGTTTTCATTTCTTCACTGTCACTATAGGAGCAAATCCAAATTTTTCGGATGAAACATTTTATAGGGTGAGTTCTCAATTCTTTCATATTTAGAAGATTTTACTGCGGTATTTTGTTTAGAATTTTTTATTATTTGCACTATCCGGTAATTGCATGATATGATGCTATTCTTGTTTCCTTCTGGTTTTCTTTATTACTATGCGAAGGCATCCTTGGAATTAGTATTTTTGATATGAATTACCCAAAACTATTCCAGTTCAATCACTTGTAGTCTATTACTAGCTTTAGCCATATGTCAATCCTATTATCTTCTCCATGCTCACATCGATTTAAATAACTCGAATTGTCATGCCAATAATATTAAAGGGTTGAATTTATCTTCGGTTACTTACCTTATCTTATGTACTACTGCTTATTAATAATTAAATGTGCACCAAAACTAAGAAACATCTTGGTTAGTTCTAATAATTATGCCTATAACTTGATACTTGCTTGGTAATGACTCAAATTTAATTTGACTTTAGATCAAAATTTGTTGCTTGGGCTCTACGTCTCGAAATTAATTTAATTCAACCCCAATTGACTACACACATATATATATACTTGTAAATTTATAAATGAATCATATATATAAAGGTAAATTTATATGTGATTTAATTTATGATTTTATTTCGCAAGTATTTATGCTAGGCAGGTCACTCCTTTAGTTCTTACATGTTGTACCAAATGTTTTTAAAGCGCCAAGTATAATGCGATGCACAAGGGTGGGTTTCTTTTTGCTTTGATGTGCAAAGTGCAAAGTGAGGTGGTGCTTTTATTAGTTAAAGCGATCATGAGTTGTATATCATATAAACATATATTATTTGTATATAATAGTTATTTAATTAACTAAACTTAAGTCACATAAGGTAATAATTTTTTTAGCAAATATCATAATACGTTCAATAATAGTATTTTTAGATATTTAATTGTAAAAAATAAATCAAATTTATAAATGATATAAATAATAAAGTAATGTTAGAATATACTTAAAATTAAAAAATATATTCGCGAGATTTAGTGACTAGCTAGAGGCTGAGGGATAGAGACAGTGTGAAGTGAAAGAATATGAAGATGAGCTGAAGAGAACCATTCTCAAGAAGAAGCTAAGTGTGAAGCTATTGCCAAACATAAGAATTATTGAAAAACATATTAGAGCTAATAGGGGAGTGAGTGCAAAGAGAAGAAACATCATCAAGCAACTTGCTCCAATATGATAGAGCAGATAGCCAATGAGTAAAGAGTTAATTACTATGGAATTAATAAGGAAAAACTAATAAAATTCCTCGGTTATTGTGATAGATGTTTAATCAAACCATGAAATATGAATCGGTATTTTACTTTGAGCAAGAGTCAAGAGCGCAATGCTATAATGCATTGCAGCAAATCGGTGCAACATGCGGACTTTAGCAAATGATGAGCAAGGTCAGTGTTTTGCTTTGCTTTACTCCTAAAATGCATTTTGATGCTTGCTTTTAACAAGATTGATCTTGTGCTAAATTGTTGAGTGGTCTATGAAATTGGTTAAACTATTGATGGTTATAATTTTTGAGTAATTTCTTATGAACTACCTTAGAAACTTTGTGCTACTTTTACTGGGTTAAAAAATTATTTTCTTTTTGTACAACCAAGCTGATTTTTTTTGTCCAAGTGGATTACTTGCCCATCTGATAGGAATACTTGAGTTCGCTAGTAATCCTCCTGAAAATACTTGAGTTCGCAAACAACCCTAACAATAATCGGTAAAAAATCAGCAAGAATAATATGTGAACTTAAAAAAAAAAGCTCCAAATAGCAAATTTTTATTGGGGAAATCAAAGCAAATCAAACACAAAGCAAACATACAATTGATCCTCAATTCGAGAGGAGGATCGTTGATAGGAAACACTTGTAGATCTCAAGTATGTCCTATAAATCCTCAGAAAACAACGAGAAATCTTCACAAAAGTCCACACAAAATCACAAAAAATAGTAGATAACTTGTATTATTTGATGAAAGGAACACGGAAAATAGCAAGATACACTTGATCGTCAATTCGAGAGAAGGATCGATCTCTCTTAAATCTCTAGGCGCCGCTAGAGCCCAAAGAAAACCTAAATCTAAGAGATCTCAAATTTTAGCCAAATTCAAGATACCAAAACCCTAGGAAAACAAACTATTTAATGCATACAAATCAAAAGGAAATCCCTAAACAGTCTCTACATTCAAATTTCCCTCCCAAATCCCTAAAAAATCCTTCCTAAAATGACTCCCGTGGACTTGTGGCTCGCACGGCGTCCGCAACAGGCGGAGTTTTTCTCCGCTGTTTCGCGTGTCTCGCGTCTGGGCCGGTCCCTCGTGGACCGACTGGACCGGTCTAACAATACTCCCCTCCCGAAGATCCTCCTTGTCCTCAAGGTGGAGATATGCTCATGTTCTGGTGGAGGTGGCCATTCTTGAGGTGGTAGAAAATCCTTACCAAATTGCTGAAGTAGGGGTTGCCCTGAAAGAGAAACATCCCCTCCCTCCTCCATCATGATCACATCCAGCTTTTGTAGTCCCACCTGATAAGCTTCCCCCGCCTCTTGTAGGCTCCTAACCATATTCTTATGTGATACCATGGCTGTGGATAGCCCTGCATCTCCACTTATAACCACCTTTCTCCCATCCACCATTAATTCCATCATGAGTGCTCCCTAATTGTCCTTGGTTTCCCCCAAGGTTTGTAACCATTTCATTCCCAGGATGACATCAGTACTTCCTAACTCTAGTGGGAGAAAATCCTCCCTTACCTGAATCCCCTATATGGTCAACACCACTCCTCTACAGATCCCCAAACCTTTCTCGACATTCCCTGTACTCATTATCACCCCATAACAACCGGTGTCCACCAATTTCACTCCCAGTTGATTGACAACCTGAGTGGAAATGAAATTATGGGTAGCCCCACTGTCAATCAAGACAACCACCTCAATGCCTGCTATCTCCCCCTTCACCTTCATCGTATGATTCGAGGTAAATTCTACTACGAAATTCAGGGAAACCTCGGCCATATCCAAATGCAACTTCTCCCTCTCTTCCTCTAACTCCCCTTCACCTCCCTCCTCAGTTTCCTCGTCATCACAGACGGTGAGAATCTGAAGAGTTTGGTCCTTGCACCGATGTCCTGGTGTATACTTCTCCTCACACCTGAAACACAATCCCTTTGCCCTCCTCTCCTGCATCTCTTTCTCTGTCAGCCTCTTGAAATTTTCCCCACTCCCTCCTCCTACTGGCTTCTCCCGGGTGGTCTCATTAATGTTGTCTGATGCAAGCCCCTTAGATGTTAGAAGAGTGGTCGACGTCCTATAAGAGCCTCCTGAACTGTTGCTCCTCGCTTCCTTCTCTAAATTATTCTGATTTTCCACTAGCTGGGCCAACTTCATAGCCTCCCCCAAGTCGCGGGGCATCAAAACCTTCACTGTTGCTCGGATCTATGCCTTCAACCCTTTCATGAAATTTTCCTCCAATACTGTATCTGAGAGTCTCTCCACCTTGCTAGCTAGGTGCTCAAACTGCTCCCGATAATCTGCTACTGATCCCTCCTGTGCCAAAGCAAAGAACTGCTCATAGAAGTCTCCTCCCCAATCTGTTTGGAAACGCTCTATTATGTAGTCTTTGAATTCCCTCCAGTTCCTGATCGGCCTCCTATGGTCTCTCCACTGAAACCACGACAGAGCTTTTCCTTCCAAGCACAATCCGGCTGCAGTCAGCTTCTCCTCCTCTGTTAGCCCATTGACGGCGAAGTATCGCTCCACCTTGTAAATCCACACATAGGCATCTTCTCCTTCGAATATGGGCATCTTTAACTTCCTCACCTTCTGGTCGCCCCCATTACCCCGTAATCTTCCATAGTTTTCCTTCTCCTAAGTGCAAGGTACACCCAATGTTTCCCAGTCTTCTCTTGCTCTGCCATAGCCCAAACCCCATTCGAAATCCCTCCTTTTGTCTTCAAAATCAGCACCTCGGTGACCATAGTATTCCTCATGGCGTTCCCCATATCCACCCCCTTTTTCATCCCTCTGGATAGGCTCCAGATGGGGTCTTCTTCTTTATCCTTCCATGATTTCCACCTCTTAATCCTCCTTATGGATTTCAGAATTGGTGTTCTTTGCTTCTGGGCCCTTCGCTTCGGATGCTGCCATTTGTGCTTGAAGCTCCAGCATTCTTTTCATCATATCCCTGAGATCGGCCACCTGCCCCTCCATGGAAGAAATTCTTTCCTCCATGGTTTCTTTGATGTGATTCATCTCTCCTTCGAGTCTCTACTCTAAAGCATCAACTTTCTTGGCCGCCATTACAATCTGGAATTTGCCGAAAACGGCCCTCCACCGGTCCCAAGACTTGCTTTGATACCAATTTGATAGGAAACACTTGTAGATCTCAAGTATGTCCTATAAATCTTCAGAAAACAGCGAGAAATTTTTACAAAAGTCCACACAAAATCACAAAAATAGTAGATAACTTGTATTATTTGATGAAAGGAACACGGAAAATAGCAAGATACACTTGATCCTCAATTCGAGAGGAGGATCGTTCTCTCCTAAATCTCTAGACGCCGCTAGAGCCCAAAGAAAACCTAAATCTAAGAGATATCAAATTTCAGTCAAATTCAAGATACCTAAACCCTAGGAAAACAAACTATTTAATACATACAAATCAAAAGGAAATCCCTAAACAATCCCTACATTCAAATTTCCCTCCCAAATCCCTAAAAAATCCTTCCTAAAATGACTCCCGTGGACCTGCGGCTCACACGACGTCCGCAACAGGCGGAGTTTTTCTCCGCTGTTTCGCGTGTCTCGCGTCTGGGCCGGTCCCTCGTGGACCGGCTGGACCGGTCTAACAATCGTCTCTCCCAAAATCTCTAGACGAGAGTCTAGAGTCCAAACACCAAAGAACTCCAAGAAAACAAACAATACAAGCATACCCAACCCTAATCCTCTCATGCCCTTTAAATAGTCCTCTCCACCTCCTTAAAAACTTCATAATATAAGATATTATTTATTTAATACAAAAGATATTAAATCTTTTTAATTAATTAAATCCCTCCACCTCCTTAAAAACTTCATAATATAAGATTTTATTTATTTAATGCAAAATATATCAAATCTTTTTAATTAATTAAATCAACTTTCCCTACTGGCTTGCCGTCCTCTTTTAGCCGCCAAAGTGGACCCCACCCCTAGGTGAGGCGGTTTGGGCCGCCTTTGGTACCGCTAACCCCATCTTGGCGGTTTAATATGAACCGCCCTATCACCATCATTTTCATAACTTTTTAAAGGTAAACTAAACTTCACGAGTTTGTTGATTTCCTTTGAAAATAGAAAGTATGCATTTGGTAAGTGTTGGTTTCATAGCCAGCACGCATAATAAATTTTGTAGTTTAAATTCATTTTACTTATATCTTGCATATTTTGTGTAATAATCTTAAAATTGTGGGCTATTGATAAGGTTGTTTGATGTAGCACCTTGATCCAAGTCAAGGCCCATAGAGCCCTAAGTTTGTATTAAACTCATGTTACATTGGTTCATGCATTTAAATTATATTGGCTAGGCCTTTTTCATTTAAATTTGGTAGAATTTATCTTTTTGGATAACCATGGATTTAAATTTCAATTAGGTGATAGGATTAGCTTTGAGTTTGGTGATGAAGATTGGAATACTTTTTAATTTGAATTGTAAACTATTTTGTTATAAATAGGGTTAAGTAGATGTTAAGTTTATTATGTATTGAAATTAAGAAATCATCATAATAATGATGTTAACACCACCCTATATTTCCTAATTAGAAATCCAAAAGTTTGATCGCTTGATTTTGAAGGCTACATCTCTCCCCCTCTCTCTTAACTAAAGAGGAATTATTTGGGCCTTTCTTTCTTATGATTTTCTTCTATCTATTTGACCCTCATCCTCTCACATCTAAGGGGATAATTTAAGCAAAGTTTAAGGAGGATGACAAAAATGATTATGAAAGAGACTTACACATATATGATCTCCACTAATTTGGTACTAAAGCTAAAATCTTGTAGTTAAACCCTAACCCAATTCAATCTACCTTCCTCATGAACCTTCCCACCCTTTTATGTAGGTAAAATCAATTCAAACCCTTCCCGAAACCCTACCCCACTCCATCCCAACTCAACACCCTCTCCAACAATCAAGCCCGCTTTCCATCTAACAATAAAAAAACCCATTTCCCTTTAATACTACTATGATTTTTTTTTTTACTTCAATTCACAGGGTGATGGGCTAATAATATAATTTGTGAATAAGAATTTAGTTAATCTATGAAGATGCCTAATTGGCATTGGCTTAAGTACTTGGGATTTAATGCTTCCAGCTAGGGGTATAAGTGAGCCGAGCTTATCAAGCCATGAGCTCGAGCTTGAGCTTAAAATCGAGCTCATTTGTTAAACGAGTTCGAGTTTAAGCTTGATTAGGCTTGGCTCGCGAGCAGGCTCGAATGATTATTTGAATATTTTAAATATTTTTATTTAATTAAATATAAATATTAAAAAGTTGATTAAAGTGTTAGAAATAAGGCCCATCTCTAGCTACAGCACCTTCAAGAAAGCTGTAGCATAATAAATGCTAGCTATAACACTTTCAAGAAAAATGTATATGCAAATATTAAAAAGTTCAAAAAAGAGCAGCTATTCAAGTCGCGAAAGACAAAAAGTTGCAAAAATTAAATAATAAAGTATTCTCTTCCACTGACCACCGTTCATCTTCCCGCTTCGCATCTTCCACAGACCACCGCCTTATCTTCCCGCTTCACGATGTCAATAGTGACGTCTTCTTCTTCCCCTTCCCGTTGCCGGCGTTTCAGACGAACAAGCTTGAATCGAGTATCGAGCCGAGCTCAAGCTTGGATTTTATTATGTAAGTCAAGTTCGAGCTCATTTAACAAGCTCGATTCGAGCTTACTGTGAGGTAAATGAGTGGAGCTCAATATGGCTACGACTCGACTCGTTTACACTCCTACTTCCAGCTATAGTTTTTTGTTACAATATTTTTGTGCAAAGTGCTTTTAGAAATTTCTTTTGAAGATGTTTATGGCATGCACCTTTGAAATCTACCAGCTACTTTTGAAGAATATAAATATTTAGTTGTTGAAAAAATCAACCTCCCACTAAAGACTATTGGATTGCATAGGAATAGTTTATGAAGATGATGCTAGATCTACTTGAATTTTATAATTATGACTCTCTGGAGGCAAGTTATTTTGTCCGGGACTTGATAATGAACATGTACCCAAATCTTTACTCATGGCTAGACCCAAGTATAAATCAAATCCTATGATGCACCGAAACTTCTCCTCAAAGAGATGTGCAGTGTACGATACATATTCAACATGACACGCATCTGACACGCAAGAAACGTGTCAGACACGCTGAAAATATGTCCAATTAAAAAATATTAAATAAAAATTGGGCACTTGTATCTTAAATATTTTATGATTTTTTTTAAATATAATTTATTGTATTTAAAATATAAAACTAAATTGCTATTTCCTATCCACAATATCAAATCAATCGTCCGCACTCAATACCCTATTCATCTAATATTCTTATTTCATTTATCTTTGGCAGTTACGACTTTGATTTCACAATAATGTCCGATGTTATCTCAACATTGACGTCTGACATTGTTACAATATCAATATTTCAAAACCATCTCAAAGTCTAATATTATATTGACATTGATGCTCGGCACTAATAATTTCTACACCGACAACTTGACTGTTCATTTTTGTCCAACGTCATCTTAACATCAACAACATCCCTCAACATCGACGACAGATGCCCTCTTGGCATCGATGCCCGATACTTACTGCATAACATCGATGTCCGACTCTCGACAACATTGTCGTCTTCTTTCTCGATGCCTAATACAAGACATCAACACCCGTATCTCAACATCTCAATATTAATCATTTTAAGCACAAATTCTAGTTAAATGACTTATTATTTCTAAGTTATTTTTAATATTATACTTATTCAATTTTTATACATTCATTTTAAAATATAAAAATTATAATACCATGTCCAACCTGTGTCTGTCCTATATTTTCAATAATTGTGTCATCGTGTCCGTGTCTGTGCATCATAGATCAAACCTAAATTAAACGGATTCATGAATTTAAATTATCGTAATTCTATAAGGATTTTTTTTATTTAAATTTAGTGGAAATTATTCATTTGCTTTATCTCAGTTTTAAATAATAATTAGATGTAGAATTAGATTTAAATTTGGATTAGAAGGTAGGACTAGTATTCAATTGAAATTGTAAATCATATTTCTGTAAATAGCAGGATATTAGTTTGCAATATATGTTGAGGATAAGAAATTCTTATAATTCTACTAGATACTCTCCTGTCTCTCCCCTAGAGTTTTCTCGCAACTTCGATTTCCTAACAATAAATCCAAAAGTTCTAGTTGCTTTCTCACCTTTCTGTCTTTCTCACTTTAACTTAAGGCATGCTTTCTAAGGCTGTGACGCCCTCTTTCTACCTTTCCTAGGGGAAATAGAATTATCTTTCTCACAGTTTTCATGAAATTGTGAGATCTCTCTTGCTCTCCTCCATTCTCTCATATCTAATGGGAGAAGTAATGTAAATTTCAAGCGATATGTGAAGGATCAATGAGGCCTACACATTCAAGATCTCCACCAATTATACATCATTACCAACAGGCTCCAAGTAAAGATTAAAAATAAGAAGATTTGTTATAAAAATTGGTTTAATTTTAAAAATTCTGATAATTGGGAATTATATAAAGTGGCTCGTAAGGATTCTAAGTAAGCAATATGCAATGCAAAGACATTAGCTTTTAGTCTTTCTCACTTTAACTTAAGGCATGCTTTCTAAGGCTGTGACGCCCTCTTTCTACCTTTCCTAGGGGAAATAGAATTATCTTTCTCACAGTTTTCATCAAATTGTGAGATCTCTCTTGCTCTCCTCCATTCTCTCATATCTAATGGGAGAAGTAATGTAAATTTCAAGCGATATGAGAAGGAACAATGAGGCCTACACATTCAAGATCTCCACCAATTATACATCATTACCAACCGGCTCCAAGTCATTTCATAGCTTGCGTAATGTTATGTGGGATTTGCTGTCTTATGAACTCAGCGTTTATATGTTTTGTTGCATTCCTATTTTAATAACCATCTTTAAATATCATATGCAATTTGTAGTAAGAACTTTGTGGTTTGCTTGAACTCATGCAGGAACAATTGAAGGATGATGTCAATCGAGTAGATGGACTATTTGAAAAGGCACTTGAAACTGGGATCGTTATAGAGGTGTGCATTTGTGACATTGCTTGATTTTTCTTGTGTAGTTGATGTCATCTTTTTTTCTTAATTCTATTGTTAATTTGTGATTATGTGAAGAATTCGTCCATTAAGAAAGTGCCAATAAACTACCTAGTAAATCTCCTATGCTATCTTAATAAATTTCGAATGTTCTACAGTGCAGGTCTATCAATGGAGTAGACATTGCTGCTCTTATTTCTTCAGGCCAATACATTGCCGTTGCCCTGGTTGACAAGATTAAGTTAAGGTACTTATTTTAGCCATCCTTTCTTTAATGAAGACATCCGCATAAGCAAATGTATTTATTTTTTGAGTTTCATCCAAGTGATTTTTTTTTCAAGTATTTAATATTTCATTCTACTAATTAGATTTGATAGATGGAACATTTTATGTTTTTTATGCTTGATTATAATTGATAATGCAGTCAGTCTCAGCAGAAGGATGGATTCTTCTCAGTTGGAAGTTCGGATTATATGGGTGAGGCATAATGTTTCCTCTTATTTTTGAATGTTTTATTATACTAAATTTCTTGTATGCTATAATATACATAGCTTATTGTCTTTTTATGTTGTTTACCAGTAAAATAATTTAATTGGGATCAGTGGCGGAGCCATAACTTCTTATAGAGGGGGCACACACACATTTATTATCTAATTCATTTAAGGGATAATTTGAGAAGAAAAATTATATATATATACTCGAGTCGAGCTCAAAATCCGAGCTTTAGCTCAACTCGTCTCCATGTCGAGCGGCTCGTCGAGCTCCGCTGTCAAGCTCGTAGTCAGGTCCACTGTCGAGCTCCGTTGTCGTCATCCCGAGCTCGTAGTCGTGTTCGCCTTCGTCGTCCTGAGCTTGTCTGTCGTCAAGTGCTCGTCTGTCATAGTAGCGTCTGCCGTCGTCGTCATGACGGTTCCGCCGTCGACTGCGCAACGGTCGAGTGCTCATCTGTCATAGTCGCGCCCGCCGTCATCGTCCTGAGCGTGTCCATCGTCATCGTCCTGAATTTTGATTTCTCGCTCATGTTTTGGATTTGCCGCCCTGAAGCTTCGCCATTGAGCTGCTCTACGAGTTGCCGAGTCGAGCAGCGGCCTATTCGAGCTCGAGCTTGATAAGCCGTCGAACTCGATAAGCTCGACTCGTCAAGCTTGTTACTGAGTTGAGTCTGAGCCAGCTCGCTAGACGGCTTGACTCGTTTGCAACCCTAGAGTAGAATAGAAATTAGATAGCATGGTGCTATGAATCGAAGCCTATAAAATGGATTAAGTATACATACTCAATGGATAAGATATTTCGACACAATTTTGATTTCGAAGCTATTAGATTCATTTTGAGATGAGTGCAGTATAAATTTTTCATATGTTCTAAAATTTTCAAAGCAATTCCAACAGATTTTAATTTTCTTTTCTCTATTCAATGTATTTCAATATCAAAATATATTTTCAGCTTCATGAGCTCCAAAATAGAATATGTGAGATCTACTCAGGTGGAAGGACGAGGGAAAATTCCAACCAGAGAAAGGTCTCATTTGGGCTGCATAGGGGTGGACATGAAAGCTGCACGAGGACTTGGGAGAGGCCAGGAATGTGATATGAATGCCTTTTTTTTCTCTTCTATATAAATTATGCTAACTGATCACTGTATGAACCATAGCATTTTAGGGGGGGCACGTACCCCCCCACCCTGATTGGATTGATCAGATACAGTGAGCTGGTTGTCCGACATTGTAGACTAGTATTTAGAAAGTTACTCCACCACCATTACGGCAAATCGGTTGTGATCAGATAGCATTTGATAGTGATTAAGATAGTTCTCTTGTATATTGCGATCTTTGTTTGAACCAAAATTCTAATTGAGTTTCATGTCGAATAAAAATTTTGAAATATCTTTTTTTTTTAAAATTCAGGCAATACTCTTACTTTTTTAACAAAATGAAAGGAAAAAATAAGAACTTGCTCCAAATAATTATTTAAAGATTGAAAATCTTAAATTTTGCAAGAAATTTGAGAACTAATAAAAAACGTGCAACAATCAATATTTATTCCGTAAAAAGGAAAATTACACTAGTAAACTTGACAAAATCTCAAACACCCACATAAAAATTAATTATAAACTATATAAATGAAAGAAAACAAGAATAGAATTCACTAAAAATTCAAACCTGGCATCAGTACAAGGATTCTCTTGGAAGTTGTCATCAATCTTGCAATGCCCTCAAAGGAGTCTACAACACAAGTTTGCAAGTAGTTTTAAATTTTATTAACCCGATGTTGATTTTACAGTCTAGGATCATCCTTAAACCCATTTCTTTTTTGCTTTATTCGTGGATGTTCTCACTAGACATTTGCGAGAGGTTGTACCTTGGTGTATGCTTTTTATTGATGATATTCTTCTTGTTGATAACAATGTTTAAAATTGCGTAATCGGGTATTGAGGTGTTTTTCGTTCGTGAGGCGAGGCATAAGCCTCAAGGCGTTTTGAGGCGTAAGCCCCAAAATCAAAAAAATTGCGTAAACATAAAATGATAAATTTTGTATATATTAATTAGTAAATACTATATAAAACATAAAAATACACAAGATATGAAGTGAAATCAAAATATCCCAATAATAAGACAACATGAATACAACAATATACGGGTTTGCCGGGGGTCCAAGGGGCCGTTGCCCCCTAGCTGGGTTCGACTTGCGGGGGTTTCAAGGGGGCGCAGTGCCACTGCGAGGATTTCCGGGGGCAGCGCCGCCGAAACAAATTTTTATTGTAAGAGTAATTTTGAAGTTTTGCTTGTTTTTAAAGTTCATAAGTTGTTTGTATGGAAAGATACCGAGTGGTACCGAGCATGTACCTAGCAGTACCGAGCATGTACTGAACGGTACCGAGCATGTACCGAGCGGTACCGAGCATGTACCTAGCGGTACCGAGCATGTACCTAGCGGTACCGAGCATGTACTGAGCGGTGAGCATGTACCTGCTTAGTACCGAGCATATACCTAGCGGTACCGAGCATGTACATTAGCTTTTTTTTTAATTTTTAAAGGCGGACGCCAATGTTTAAAATTGCGTATTCGGGTATTGAGGCGTTTTTCATTCGTGAGGCGAGGCGTAAGTCTCAAGGAGTTTTGAGGCGTAAGCCTCAAAATCAAAAAATTGCGTAAACATAAAATGATAAATTTTTTAAATACTAATGAAAGAACAATATAAAACATAAAAAAGCATAAGATATGAAGTGAAATCAAAATATCTCAATAATAAGACAATATGAAATATAACTCAACTCAAAATTCTATCTTTCCCAAATCCCAATATTCTTTTCATTAACATATAATTCCAATTTCTAAAAATAAATAGCAATGACATATCACATAAGAACTCATAAATCATCAGCATTGTCATCACTAAGGGGTTCTTCATTTGAATCATCATTATGATGAACTGCTCTCTCCTCTTCCTCCTCTCCTATAGAGTCCAATGTCGGGCATTTACTTCAAGATTTATGTAAGTTTTAATATATATAGCGTGAGGCATAAGCCTCATGCCAGTGAGGCGAGGCGGGCCTTAAGGCGGGCCTCAACCAAGTTGAGGCGCAAGCCTCATAACAAAAACTCGAGGCGTAAGCATCGAGGCGTTTTTTACTGGAATTGCGCAAAGGCGGGCCTCAAGGCGAGCCTCATATTGCTCAATTTTAAACCATGGCGGACGCCTCTCAACTATGATGCGAGGCGCGCCTCAGTAAACTTGAGGCATACGTCTCAAATCCTGAACTCATTACGTGAGCTTTGAGGCTTAAAGGGGCGAAATTACGTGAGGCGCGCCTCTTATTACGCAATTTTAAACCATGGTTGATAAGACTAGCGAGGGAGTTGAAGATAAACTTGATATCATACAATTTTTATGTTTTTATATATCTAACACCTCAACTTTGATATTTACTTATATAACACTCAAATCTTTAAATCACACAAGATACCCCTAATATTAATATTTCTAAAGTAAAATACACCTCATGCATAAGTTTTGATGTGATTGAGATATCTAATTGTTGCACGTGAGATCGATGTTGTGGGTCAAAGCTACAAGTGGAGGTTGGATGCTGGATTCGACTGCGTTGCAGTTGAACCTGAGCGTCGATCCCGCAGAGTTGTCAAACCCGAGCAGTGAATTGCGAGCATTGATCGCGCAGATCAGTCTAACCTGAGCATCGATCCCACAGCGGCATTGAATCCCAGCATACAATAAGTGCCTGTGCAGAATCTATTCACCAATTTATTTTTACTCTCACTCATTTTGTTGAGTATTACATTTAACTTTTATTCCATCTTCACACCACAGTCGTGAAAGAGATCTTTGCCATGGATTCGACTCTATTCAACTCACTTGCCTTATCTAGTTCTCTCAAGCAAAGACTTGCCCAGTCGAGTATGATTCAATAAAATCAAGGTAATGAAGAGGAAAGAAATCAAAGAAAATGGCAAAGTTTCGGTGAACCTTTTAGTAAATGAATTTTTTTTTTCTGTGCTTAGTACTAAGGATCCTGATGTGTGTGATTGGAAAAGATTTATGCGACTTTATGTTGCTTTGACACATGCAAGGCTTCCTGTCAAGATGTAGGCCAATAGTTGGTGTTGATGGTTGTTTTCTGAAGGGACGATAAGAAGATCAATTGTACACAACTGTTGGACTTGATAGTAATAATAATATATTTTCAATTGCATGGGCAGTAATTGAAGCAGAAAGTAGAAGCTGTGGAGAATGATTTCTGAGCTTTTTAGGCAAAGATCTATAGATTTTGGAGAATTAGAAAAACTTTACATTCGTTTCTGATGAGTAAAAAGGTTTAATTCCTGCTTTTGAGATCATTCTTCCTGATGTCACCAATAGATTTTATGCTAGACATTTGCATCAAAATTTCAAGTTGGTAGACTTCATTAGTATGGCATTGAGGAATGCATTATAGGCAATGGCAAGGGCAACTACTCTTAACCAATTCACTTTCATAATGAAAGAGTTCGAGAAATTAAATATTGCAGCATTTAAGTAGTTAAGTGAGACACATCTAAGTGAATGGTCAAGATCTCATTTTACTTTTTACCTAAATGTGACACTTTACTCAATAATATATGTGAATGTTTTAATTCATTCATTCTTGAGCTAGATAATTGCCTATTGTATCAATGCTTGAAAGTATCAGAGCTATGGTCATGACAAGAATGTTGGACGACAAGGAAAAGACATTAAAATAGAATGGAAAGCTCTGCCCTAGGGTTAAGGAGATTTTGGGAAAAAGCATGCATAAAGCAGGTTTTTGTTTTGTTTATAAATCTGATGATAACAACTATGAGAGAAGTATTATGCATGGAGCTTAATATAAGGTTGACTTGAACTTAAAATCATGTTATTTTCAGAAGTGGGAGTTAAGTGTAGTACCATGTGAATATTCCTGTGTTGCAATTCATATGATAATGGGCGATTGTGAGGAATTTATTCATCCCTACTACATGGAAGAAAATTATACGAGAGTTATGAGTGTAATGTAAAGCCTTTGAATGGTGCTAATGAGTGGCCAACAAGTAATAGGATATCACCATTGCCACTAAGGTATAATAAACCCAAGACTGGTAGGCCATCAAAGATGCAAATAACTGCTGATGAATAAGCATCACATTCAAACCCAAAAAGGTTAGGGAGAGCCAATGTAAAGCTTCATTATCGTAAATGTAGACAAAGTGGACAAAATAATATAACTTGTGATAAGGGAATGCATATTGAGGAGAGACATGGGGGATTCCCAGGAAGTTGTACAATCATTGATTGAAATAGTGAGTCATATCATCCCATCAATTTGGTTAACATAGATAATAATTTTCATTTAAAAATGATGTTTTCTAACACATACTGAACTTGCTTTAGATATTCTCACTCAAGGATCTTCCAATACAAAACTTTTAGTCAGTTCATTTTTTTTCTTCATTTAGCACTTTATCACATATAGGATTTAAGAGGTGGCTCCCATGGCGTAGCACTTTGTCTTGTATGACACTTAGTTCCCATCTTTTGGTTGGCGTATATTAGAGTAATTAGACCAGTCCAGTCGATCTAACGGGACCGGCTTATGCTAACATAGGCGGACATTTTCGCCTCCTGTACGTGTCGAACGCACGACCAGACCTGTGTGAGCTATTTAGGAAGGATTTTTGAGAGAGTTATGAGCGAAATTTTAATGTAGGGATTGTTTAGGGATTTCCTTTTGATTTGTATGCATTGAATAGTTTGTTTTCCTAGGGTTAGGGAATCTTGAATTTGGCTGAAATTTGAGATCTCTTAGGTTTAGGTTTTCTTTGGGCTCTAACGGCGTCTAGAGAATTGGGAGAGATCGATCCTCCTCTCGAATTGATGATCACTTGTATCTTGTTTGTTTTTCTTTTGTTAGTTGATTTTTCTTAATAAAGTTGGTTGTTTTTTTTTCCCCTCTACTTGTTGAGTATTCTTGTTGATTTTGTCAAGATCATTAGGTTTTAATTGATATCTTCAAGTGTTTCTTATCAAATTGGTATCAGAGCAATTTCCTAGCCAGAAATTAAAGTCTCCTCGCTAATTTTTGATGTGTTTCACTCACCGAGCTGCTGTTTTTTGCTGATTGAAGGCTAGAAACTATTATTTTTTTGGTCGTTTTTGTTGTTTAGAGCCTAGATCCGGGTACCGATGGCAGGGAAAAAGGTAGAATTGTTGAAAGGGGAGATTGAACAATTGAAAACTAAAATTTCAGATCTCCACACTTAACTTTCAAATGTCAAAAGTCAAATTTCAGCCATCCACGAGAAAATGGACAGGAATTTTTTCAGCCTTGGGGAGATGATGAAGAAGTTGCTCGAGGGCCAATCCAAAACGGCATCGTCAGAGGCATGGGAAACCTCTGGCAACCCAGGACACAGGGAAAACTCTAATCCAAAAAGGCAAAGGGAATATCAAGTGGAGGAGACTCAAAAGGGAAAAGAGAGAATGCCTCCCCTGGAGCCTATTCTTATGGGGGAGCCGGGTAGGGGGCATCGGGAGAAGCGTGAGGTGGAGGAGCAAGAACTAAGATGTGATGATTTGGAGAGGAGAGGGGTAGTATTTGAAAGGGTAAGGGGTAATTATGACCAAAGGGGGACTACATCTGAAAGGGGAGGAGTTTGTTATGATATAAGGGGTGCTGAATTTGAAAGGAGAAGGTGAGAATTTGATGAAAGGCTTGGGAGAGTATTTGGAGCTAGCTCAGTTGGTGGAGGATCAGAGGTACTTGGAAAAAGGAGCAGGAGGCAGTAGTTTTGGAGGCTCATACAGGGTGACCATCATCTTTTTGGCACCCAAGGAACCAACACTGAGTATTTTTAGGGAGACTTCGAAGGAGAAGACTGTCGAAGGAAGACTTGGGGACAATTTCAAGAAGCTCACAGAAATAGAATTATAGGAGAAATGGGCGAAGGAGATCTATTTCAGATGTGACGAGAGGTATACGCCGGGGCACAAGTGTAAGGACCAAATTCTTCATGTTCTTACCATTTGTGATGAAGAAGAAATGGAGTAGGGTGTCGCCTTTCCACCTTGCGAACAAGGTGTATCTTTGGGAGGGGAGTATTGTTAGACCGTCCAGTCGGTCCGTTGGGACTAGTTTACGTGAACAGAGGCGGACATTTCCGCCTCTTGTACGCGTCAAACACACTCTCGGGCGTGCGTGAGTTGTTTAGGAAGGATTTTTGAGGGAGTTAGGAGGGAAATTTGAATGTAGGGACTGTTTAGGGATTTCCTTTTGATTTGTATGCATTAAATAGTTTATTTTCCTAAGGTTAGGGCATCTTAAATTTCGCTGAAATTTGAGATATCTTAGATTTAGGTTTCCTTTGGGCTCTAACGGCATCTAGAGAATTGGGAGAGATCGATCCTCCTCTCGAATTGAAGATCACTTGTATCTTATTTGTTTTTCTTCTGTTAGTTGATTTTTCTTAATAAAATGTGCTAATTTTCTTTAATTTTTCCTCTACTTGTTGAGTATTCTCACTGATTTTGTCAAGATCGTTGGGTTTCACTTGAGATCTTCAAGTTTTTCTTATCACCATATTGCTCTGATACCATTTGTAACAGCACAAACTCTTAACTATCTAAATATTGTCTGTTTTAGCCTAAGAGCCTCACAATTTTGTCATGTTGGTGTAACTTCCCAGTTGGTTACCCATCCCAGAATTGCTCCAGGATGAGCACACTTAACTATGGAGTTTTTTAATGAAATTCCAACAATTGCCCCAAAAGCGCCTTGATATTTAAGAGTTTAGCTTCTTTTACTTAGTGGGTTTCACAAGCTTGAATACTTATAAAATTTTAGGTCATTAGAAGTGTTAGGATCTCAATATATTAACACTCCCAATTTGATTTTGTTTTTGCATTAGGAGAATGCAAATTATTTTATTTTCATTGCTCAAATGTAACAAAACTGAAGAGGCATCTTGTTGCTCCCATGCTAATTTTGCGTTTGCAATTGGATGATGTAACATATTTTATTTTTAACCGCTCAACATTGGATCATATGACACTTGATTTAATTTAACCAAAGTTCTTTACAATATGTTTTCAGTTTGATTGTTATCTTTCATAAAGGAATCAAACTTGTTCTTTTTTCTGCTCATTTGAATGCTTATTGCATAATCATAACTTCAAATCATAGTTTTTATAAAAATATTGTTAAATAGTCATTTTAATCCCAAATATTTTTATAGGAGAATGCAAATTATTTTATTTTCATTGCTCAAATGTAACAAAACTGAAGAGGCATCTTGTTGCTCCCATGCTAATTTTGAGTTTGCAATTGGATGATGTAACATATTTTATTTTTAACCGCTCAACATTGGATCATATGACACTTGATTTAATTTAACCAAATTTCTTTACAATATGTTTTCAGTTTGATTGTTATCTTTCATAAAGGATTATATTTGACTCTCAAATATTACTTTAAGTAATATACTCGCTCTTTTTTCTGCTCATTTGAATGTTTATTGTATAATCATAACTTCAAATCATAGTTTTTTTATAAAAATATTGTTAAATATTCATTTTAATCACAAATATTTTTACCAAACATAATTTATAAAATATGATTAAAATTTTTAAAATTATAACTAAAAATATAATTTATTTCTCTTATTAAACAAATGATTATTATTATTTTTTTTCAAAAATTATAATTACTTGAAAATTATATCTAATAAATAGTTTAATTAAAAAATTGCTAAAATATCCCTAATTTTAACACCATTAAGTCCAACATCCATTAGTTTTGATGTGAGAACTAAAATGATCCCATTTTAAGGAGTTATGTGGTCAAAATGGTTCCTCAAGATAGTTGCGGACCGTTTTGGTCCTTCCTAAAGAGTTGATGGATCATTTTGATCCTTTTCTCTTTAAAAGAATATAGTATTTGCTATTTTTTTAGAATATTTGCTGTGTCAATAGCTAATTTCATATGTGTTTATTTCTGATAATATTTTCCTTTTTCTTTTTAGCAGGGCCTTAGCTATTAGTGTAAGTATGAGCATAGGTTAGGTGCAATAGTGGCCTCAAAATAGCTGCTCAGTTAAGCCTGACCACTTTAATGCTCCAGGCTTATATTTGGGCTTTATTATTTAGTTGGTTTTTTATTTGTGAAAATGGAGGCTTAGTACTTTCAAGGAATCACTCTTATCCAGATTTACAAGATTGCCCTCCATAACTAGGGACAGGTCCCCTACTAAGCAAATATTTCAGCAATGCTATATTCATTTCCTTCTCTCCACCTTTAAAGATAAGCTATTGACACAGAAACATAGATAGTTTGCTGCAGTGTCTGAAATCATGGGTTGTTACCTCCTTAAATCTGTATAATAGAGCACCTGTTACTTTGTTTTTAATATTGCTGATTTTTAACAAATTAAATTGCTAGCCTTACAAGTCTAGTATAACTTGGCTGAATGCTTTAGTACCTTCTTGTCTATTCATCTATCAATTTCGTGCTTTTTTGGTGCAGAAAACTTTGCTCTTTGAGGAATGCATCTTTTATCTTAGTAAAGCTTATCGTTCTATATGTTTTATGTTTTTCTATTTTGGCTATATTGGTGCGTACATGGGCACCTCATTTTGGATTTGATCAATCTTATTGCCTATTTCAGGGCACTTTATTGTGATATGTGGCTATGATGCAGAAGCTAGTGAATTTGAAATAAGAGACCCCGCCAGTTCAAGGTATCCGGTTTCTTTATTCAGGCATTTTAATTGATTCATGGCCGATTGATCACTTTTGCTGAAATGCAAAAAAAATATGTGCAGTTGCTAGCCCAAGTGAAACATCCCCTGTTTTTCTACAAGTTGAAAGATTGACCGAGAGAAAAGAAAAGCATTATTAATATCTTTGGTGCTTTGACTCTAAAATGCATAGAAATTTGATTGAATAATGCTATAAATGTGCTTTCTGGTATATTGGAGTCCTTTCTTATTCTCAAGGTTATTGGAATATTTATATTTTTTATTCAATTTAATTAATTAATGTAACCTATGTCAGCCATATGAATTTCACCTATGCTAAACTTGCTTACTGAATCATAAATTGCCATGCTTAGCCAGCTTACGTACCACACAATTTTCCCCTTTAGTTTGCTTTCAATGCCTACGGATTTTAATGAACCAGTAAAAATTATATTTTCTGTAGATCTATTTGTTATGTCTATCAATAAATGGAGGTTCTTTATTCACAACTCATTCGTTCCTCAATACTGCTAGAAATCCTCATAGAGAATGATGCTAACATTTACGTTTAATTGCCTTATATGACAAAATAATGCATGATTTTCTGCCTTTTACCCAAAGCTGTGGGTAGGTAAAACTTATGGGGTTTGTTATGGGATGTGGCATTGTCTCCCTGACGGTGATTTCCATTCGTTTGTAGTCACCTGGTTGCCTGTTTTTTTGAATTCCATGTTCTTAATATTGCAACTGAACGTCAAAGTGTCCCTTCCCCAAGTGAAATGTTTTGTCAAAAAAATATACATTTTGCTTCCTTTTCCTGACTTATTACCTTTGTCTCAGTTAACTCATTTTAATCTTGCAGAAAGAATGAAAGAGTTTCTCTGGAGTGTCTAGATTGTGCACGCAAATGTTATGGAACTGATGAGGACATAATTTTGGTAATAATCATTTATGATATATCTAGCATCTAAACATGCACTTCAGTTGAAATAGTAGCAAACATGCAAATTGCAACTTTCAACGTCAGTTATATCGATATGATATATTTTATTGTAAGAGTCATTCTTCTGCTCCGGCTAAAACATTACACTGGATATACATTTAAATGTACCAAAAACTAATGTTCTATGTATGAAATATAAAAAGCTCCATTTTTTCTTCAAAGAAAATTTTGTTCATGCCAAGCATTCTGTAAGCATAAAACCAAGTAAATTAAAGACAATTAGATGTCTTCGTCAAAATTTTCAATTGCATGAAACATAGTGTACTTTTTTGGCTTGTTACATCAAGGGGCTTATGACGCTTATTGATTAGATTCATTTAGAATGCATGCATTTTAGGAAACAAATGCAATGTATTTTGTTTATCTTAAGCTTGGTTTCAGGTTTACTATAAATCATATGCTGGTAAATTGTTATTTTTGTTTAGTTCGATAGAAATTTAGAGTGTGTTAGTTCATAGAAATCCACCAATAGGATTACACTTTGAATAAAAATTTCATATGCAATGAATAGAAAATTAGTTCTATGCTCACTGATCCCATCCTCATGCTCTTCTAAGAGGAGACGAATGAAATGGGAGTAGGAGAGCATGACATCAAAAGGCGATTAGCAACATTTTCAAGCAAGATATTAGCCAGAGGCAAGTAGCATCCATTCACAGTGAGAGACAGCGTCTGATGCAACCTTAAAACAACCTTGGTTCTAGGAATGCAAATTACAAACTTCCTTTCAATATAACTTAAACAAACAAAAATTGATAGTGACTTAATAGAAAATATATATGAGAAAATGATTAGGAAATCAAACAAAACAAACTAAACATGAAATATAAAACCCTCAGAACAACCGTATTTGGTCACCTCACATGCAAATATTGAAAATAAGGAATGATGCTCTAAGGAAAGACAAACCAATAGTTCACCACAGAACTTATGATCCAACTCAAGTCATTGCTCCTCCAGCAAATACTAATAGAACAGGGCTCAACAACACTAACCACTCACAATAGCTTAGAAGAAAGATACAGGTGGAATAGAAATTGTGGAGAGAAGTAGATAGAACACTGAGATGAAATAAAAGTGGGAAGGTAGAAAAGATAGCTCGAAAGCTAAGAAAACCCATAGATATATCAAGATCACACTTCAATTTTTCTCTCCATTGTGAATGGTCTTATGATCATATTGCCAAGGTTGTCCTAGTAGAATATGACATACTTCGAGTGGCATGATGTCACATAATACTTAGTTTTTGTAAAATTTTCCAATTGAAAGGTTGACAAGGAATTTTTGAGTGATTGGTACCTCTCCTCCTTTAAATCATGATATCTTGTAAGGCTTGGCTAGGGGTTTTGATTTTAATTTCAATTTATCCATCATGAGTTGTGACATAAAATTTCTTGAACTTCCACCATCAATCATGATGTTACATAATTTTCCTCCTACAGTACATGTAGTTCGAAAAATATTTCTTCTAAGCCATTTATCTCCAACATCAGTTTTGGTGATCAAGACCCATCGGTTAACTAAGTAATGATCTCCTTGGTCACCTTCAACATTAATTGTTTCCAACTCTTCCTCATTTTATTCTTCACTTTCATCTTCTTCCACATTTTCATGATTACCCTCTTATTCAATGTAGTTGGTTCTAGTCAGATTGTTTTTTGTATAGGTTGCTAAAAGATGACCATATAAACCACACTTATAATAAGATCCAATTGGTTTTGTTCTAAATACTCCTTTTCCTTTTTCATTATCTTGAGCTTCATTAGGTTTTGGTAGAAGATTTGGATTTGAAGAAGTTGACCTTATGAAAGCTTGTGAAGTTTGTGTTTTACTTCCTATAGATTGCTTAGGTTTGGTTGGATCAAATTTTTTATTGTTATTTCTTTGTTGTTGTTTTTCAATTGTCAATGCCATACGATGGGTTGATAGAAAACAGTCGCCAAAAACCAAGAAAGCTGCAATGACAGTGCAAATTTTACAAAATATGTAGGAAAATCAGGGAGAAAACACTTGAAATTCAATAATAGAAGAAGAGAAATAACCCGATACAAGGAATCTTCAATTCGAGAAGAAGATTCAGCTCTCCAAATCTCTGGCCAATGTTTAGAGCCCAAAACTAAAACAAAGATCCCAAATTTCATATTCAAATTCAAGATAATTCTAACCCTAGCTAGACAAGACTAATTAAAGCAAAATGACAAAAGTTTAATCCCTAAATACCCCCTAATCTGAAATTTCCCTCCAATACAAAGCTTAATTATTGCATGGGCCCCATCTACTTAGCCGCCCCCTTCTCTCTTTGGTTCCACCCCCCTTGGGCCCACCTCCTGTATACCGGAACCAGTCCTATAGGGACTAGTTCAATTGGTTCAGCGACACCCCTTAGGCCGGTCTAACATTACCCCCGTCTCAAAGACTCACCTTGTCCTCAAGGTGAAATGAAGGGAATTGATGCTTCTCATACGATTCCCAAGTGGCATCAAAGTTGGGAATGCCCCTCCATTTAATCAGCACTTCTTTGTTTCCCTCTTTACTTGATCTCACCCCTTTTAGCTCTAGTGATTCTAAGACTACTTCCAACTCCTCCATCAGTGTTGCTGGTAACTATGCACTAACTGTATGTTCCCCTAGAGCTTTCCTCAACTGTGACACATGTACTACTGGGTGTACGGTGGCGGAGGGGGGTAACTTCAACCGGTACGCCACAGCTCCAATCCTTTCCACTGTCTCGTAGGGCCAGAAATACCTTGGGGCCAATTTCTCTTTCCTCCTGTGGGCCACTATCTTCTGTCTCTAGGGTCGCAGTTTTAAGAACACCCTCTCCCCCACATCGAATTGGATGTCTCCTATGTGCATTTGTCTACTTCTTCATTATATGTTGCGCCATCTACAAGTGCCTCTTTAATTCCTTTAGCACCCTATTCCTTTCCTCCAAGTGTCAGTCCACTAACGATATTGGGGTGCTTCCTTATCCAAAATGAATCAAGTGTGGGGGTCCCTTCCATACAATACTTTAAAAGGGGTCATCTGAGAAGCTGAGTGGTACGATGCATTGTATCAATATTCAGCCCATGCTAACCACTTGGCCCACATCCTTGGTGTTTCAAAAGCAAAACACCTCAAGTAAGTCTCCAAATCTGTTGACTACCTCTGTTTGCCCATCCATCTGATGGTGGTAGGCGGTGCTTCTCTTAAGAACTGTACCCTGCAACCTGAACAGCTCCCTCCAAAACTGGTTGAGAAACACCTTATCTCGATCAAAAACTATCGACTCTAGAATCCTATGCAATCTAATCATCTTCCTGATAAATGATGTAGCCACTGTAACTATGATGTAGTGGTGTCGTAAGGGAATGAAATGTGCATATTCACTCAGCATGTCAACCACCACCATAATGACTGTTAATCCCTTATATCGTGGTAGGTCATCTATGAAATCCATGGATACTTCCTCCCATACCTTGTTTGGAAGTGCTAAGGGGTGTAGTAACCCCTTGGGGCCATAGCCATATACTTGTTTCTTCAGCACACCTCACACCTCGCCACTATCTCCTCCACATTCTTATGGATACCCTTTTAGTACAATTCAACCTCCAATCTTTTGTATGTCTTATGTATCCTGAAATGGCTGCCAACCGCACTCCCATAGAACTCCTGCATTTGGTGGGGAATATGGATGGAGGTTCGTGGCATCACGAATCTCCCTTGGTACAATAGCCTATCTCCCACAAGGGAATAGCTTGAGTGGCTGCTTCTATCCTTTAGCAAGTCCATCCGAATTTTCTTCAACTCCTCGTCATGCACGCTTTTTTCCTTAATAGTCCCCCAATCCACCATCAGGGGTACTGAAATGGTCATCTCCTAGAGCTCTCCCCCACACCTAGATAAGGAATCAGCCACCTTATTCTCTAACAGTGGTCGGTATTGGATCTCAAAATCATATCCCAAGAGTTTTGACAACCACCTTTGATGTTCCTCAGTCACCATCCTCTACTCTAGCAGATATTTCAAGCTCCTTGATTTGTCCTGACGATGAAGTGCCATCCTAGCAGGTAATGGTTAACACGATGGCCATCAATTCTCTTTCATATACAAACTTCAGGCTAGCTCAAGCTATCAAAACTTGGCTAAAGTAGGCTATGGATCTATGATTATGCATCAGAACTGTCCCCATCTAGATGCATGTCTCCACCACAAAAGTCTGACCGAAATCTGGTAAAGCCAAAATCGGTACTGTGGTCATTGCCTTTTTCAATCTCTCAAAAGCCTGGATAGCCGCTTCTCCCCACAAGAAGCTATCATTCTTTAACTGCTCTGTCAAAGGTCAGGTTATGTTGATGTACCCCTTCACAAACCTTTGATAGTAACCCATCAATCTTAGGAAAACCCTCAGCTCTCTCAAGTTCCTAGGTAAAGACCACTTCTGAATTGCTTCAAACTTGGCTTGATCGGCTGCAACCCTTCATGAGATACCACGTTCCCCAAGTACTCCACCCTAGCCTATGCGAAGCTACACTTCTTCAGGTTGGCCTTTAACTGATGCTCCTCTAGAACTTCAAAGACCACCCTCGAATGTTCCAGATGCTCCCCTTCATTCTTGTTGTATACCAATATGTCATCAAAGAAAACTAAGACAAACTTCTGGAGGTACGGCCAGAACATCCTGTCCATCAAGGACTAGAAAGTAGCAGGAGTGTTAGTAAGCCTAAAAGGTATCACCAAAAACTCGTAGAGTCGTAGTGCACCTCGTGTGTCTTGAAAGCTGTCTTATGAATATCTTTCTCTTTCATTCTGATTTGATGATAGTCCGACTTCAAGTCCAACTTGAAAAACACCATTGCTCCATACAGCTCATCAAGTAGCTCATCAATCACAGGAATAAAAAATCTATCTAGCACAGACTCCTTATTCAAGGCCCTATAATCCACACAAAACCACAAGCTCCCATCCTTCTTCTAAACCAATAGGACTAGACTGGACAAAGGATTCACACTTGGCCTGATGATCCCCGCCTCCAACATCTCACAGATCAGCTTCTCTATCTGATCCTTTTGAATTTGAGGGTAGTGATACAGACGAACACTGATTGGTGACACCTCTTCTTTCAGTGTAATGGCATACTCTAGCTCCCTCTATGGGGTAGGCCTTGGGGTGGTGTAAAAACACCCTTGAACTGTTGAATGAGTGATTGTACTAACAAAGGAATGTCTCCCTCTGCCTCCAATGCCACCCCTTCTAAGCTCTGAAGTTCCACCATGATCCCTCCCCACACCTCCTATATGGTCTTGACCATGGCCTTGAGATACACCATGGCTCTAGATAATGCTACATCTCCCTGAATCACCACCCTCCTTCCTTCCACTTTCAGTTCCATCCTCAACGCTCCCCATTTTACCTTGGTATCTCTCAAGGTCTGCTGTCACTTTATCACTAAGATGACATCAGTGCTTTCCAATTTCAAGAGAATGAAATACTCCCTCACCTCAATCCCCTGAATAGTTAACACTACTCTCCTACATACTCATCTACCCATCTCCACCTTCCCTGTGCCCATCATCACCCCATAAGCCCTTGGTGTCCACTAGATTCACCCCCAACAGATCAAAAATCTGATTAGAGATGAAATTATGGGTGGCCCCACTATCGGTCTAGCACCACCACCTCTCTATCAGCTATTCCTCCCTTCACCTTCATGGTGTGATTCAAGGTGAATCTCACCACAGAGTTTAAAGAGAATTCGACCATGCCCAGATGCAGCTTCTCCTCTTTCTCTTCCACTGGCCCACTCTCACCTCCCTCTTCAGCTTCATCATCATCACAGACGGTGAGAATTTGAAGGATTCGGTCCTTGCACCTATGCTCTAGCGTGTACTTATCGTCACATATGAAGCACAACCCTTTGCCTGCTTCTCCTACAGCTCCTCAATAAGTTTTTTGAAATTCCCCCCAAATCCCCCTCCTCTAGTCTTCTCCTTTGAGACTTCTCTTAGATTCCCCGATGCGGGCCCTTGGCAGCTAAGAAGGTGGTGGTCATCCTATATGATCCCCCCTGAACTACTGCCCCTGGCCCCCCTCTCCAGCTACTTTTGGTCCTCCACCAACTGTGCCAACTCCATGGCCTCCCCTAAGTCACGTGGCCTCATCACTCTAACTGCTGCTTGGATCTACTATTTAAGCCCCTTCATGAAATTCCCCTCTAACACTGTCTCTGAAAGTCGATCTAGCCTGCTGGCAAGGTACTCGAACCTGTCACGGTACTTTGCCACAGTTCCCTCCTTTATCGGGGAGAAGAACTGCTCATAGAAGTCTCATCCCCTATTAGTTTGGAAACGTTTTAGTAAACAATCTTTGAACTCCCTTCAACTTTGAATGTGTGGGCCGGATCTACCATTAGCCGCCCCCCTCTCTAACGTTCGGTCCCCCACCCCCCCCCCCCCCTCGACGCCCTGCCGTCCTGTAGGACAGTTACCGATCCAATAGGGGACCGGTTCAGTTGGTTCAGCCGGCCCCCTTGGGTCGGTCTAACATAGGCCTCATCGAGTTTGATTATGTGGTGAAGATTTAGTTGATCTTGGATTAACCACTTAAGTCCATTGATATATTGAGTTATGGTTCGTCCTCAGGTTCATTTTAATCATTTATAGATTGCAGTTTGTAAAAATCTTCAGTGTATTCTTCTATAGATCGAGTTCCTTGGTGGATGTTATTGTATTCTTGGAATAAGGTTCGGAAATGGTCAGGAGGCAAAAACTTTCCCTACATTTCTTTTTCATTCTACCCCAGGTTTAAATTTTCTCTTTGTCTCTCCTTATTATATTATTTTGAAGGTTTTTCCACCATGGTAACGCATGTCCAATCAATTTTAAACTAGCAAACCTACCTTTTTTGTTCAGGGATTTCTTTCTATTCAAAAAATTGATCCATTTTCTCAACACATTCAATGAATTGTTCAGATTGTAATTTTCCTCCAAATTCGGTGATGTCTTTTAAATCTATTTTAATCCCATGGTCCCATTGTCTATTGTTTATATTTTGGTTTCGTGGTGCTTCATCATCACTTTCATTGTTTTGATTATGAACATTGTTTACATTTAGAGTAGCTATGGTATTAACCAATGTTTTCAATTGTTGTTGTAAGTTAGTTATTTGTTGCATAATCATTTGTTGTCAATCCGCTTGTTAATTGTTTTGGTTGCCCCTTTTAAAAAAAAAATAGAAAGGAAGACACGCACATGACAACCTAATTCTCTGATATCAAATTGATGAAACATAGGCTCTTAAGCCAAGTAAGAGACCACTAGGAATGCAAATGATAAGACAGCGGGAAAAAGGAAAAGACAGCAAGGAAACTTAGTGGTTATCAGCGAAACTAAGTGGACAACAGGGAAAATGAAAAGCCATAGAAGAAAAGGAGCAAGAAAAACAAGTGAAAAGCTAATGGAATGAACTTACCTAAAAGCACCGAACCCAAGCGTGATCATGAGTTGTTTTACATCATAGGACCATACAAAATAAACTTACATAGCATCCAAAAACATAACAACAACAACAACAAGCCTTTATCCCACTACGTGGGGTCGGCTACATGAATCCTTTTTCTCCATTGTGTCCTATTAAAAGTCAAATTCTCGTTTAAATCTAATAAAGAAAGGTCATTCCTAATATTTTCTAACCAAGTCTTTTTAGGTCTACCCCTACCTTTCTTAACATAAGTCAAATCTAATACCTCTACTCTCCCCCCCTTGGGCCGGTCTAACATAGGTCTCATCAATTTTGATTATGTGGTGAAGATTTAGTTGATCTTGGATTAACCACTTGAGTCCATTGATGTATTGAGTTATGATTCGTTCCTCATATTCATTTTAATCATTTATAGATTGTAGTTTGTAAAAATCTTCAGTGTATTCTTCTATAGATCGAGTTCCTTGGTGGATGTTATTATATTCTTGGAATAAGGTTCGGAAATGGTCAGGAGGCAAAAACTTTCCCTGCATTTCTTTTTCATTCTACCCCGGGTTTAAATTTTCTCTTTGTCTCACCTTATTATATTATTTTGAAGGTTTTTTCACCAAGTTAACGCATATCTAGTCAGTTTTAAACTAGCAAACCTAGCTTTTTTGTTCAGTGATTTCTTTCTATTCAAAAAATTGATCCATTTTCTCAAGACATTCAATGAATTGTTCAGGTTGTAATTTTTCACCAAATTTGGTTATGTCTATTTTAATCCCATGGTCCCATTGTCTATTGTTTATATTTTGGTTTCGTGGTGCTTCATCATCACTTTCATTGTTTTGATTATGAACGTTGTTTACATTTAGAGTAGCTATGATATTAACCAATGTTTTCAATTGTTGTTGTAAGCTAGCTATTTGTTGCATAATCATTTGTTGTCAATCCGCTTGTTAATTGTTTTGGTTGTCCCTTTTTTTAAAAAATAGAAAGGAAGTCACGCACATGACAACCTAATTCTCTGATATCAAATTGATGAAACATAGGCTCTTAAGCCAAGTAAGAGACCACTAGGAATGCAAATGATAAGACAGCAAGAAAAAGGAAAAGACAACAAGGAAACCGAGTGGTTATCAGAGAAACTAAGTGGACAATAGAGAAAATGAAAAGCCACAGAAGAAAAGGAGCAAGAAAAATAATTGAAAAGCTAATGGAATGAACTTACCTAAAAGCACTGAACCTAAGCGTGATCATGAGTTGTTTTACATCATAGGACCATACAAAATAAACTTACATAGCATCCAAAAACATAAGAAAATAAAAATAACATAAAAGACATTAAAATAATAAATCGTTATTGCATCCGCATCAGAGGCTTGAGGCATTCATTAGGTTACTCTAAACCACGATAGTTTTGCTGAAAATATTTGTGGCGAGTAGCCATTAATTAGTAGCATGTGTCGGATGACAAGGGATTAGCGTGAGGGCAAAGAGATTATGATTTTGTTTTTGTCATAAAGGAGCATGATCAATGTTAAAGAAAGTTGGTTGATTTGACTGAATTCTTTTGCAAGTAAAATCCACCTTTTGGTGTATTTCATCCACATAAAAAAAAAATAATACATAACCCTAATTTTACTTTGAACCAAACACCAAAAAATATTGGAACTCTTGCAAACCCATTACACTCTAGCTTGAAGTCCTAATGATTACCTTTGGCTTATTTTGAAGTCTTTCTTTTTTCATGAGCAACTTAATAATCATTTCCATTATTAACATCATCCACCTTGTCCTAATTATTCTCGATCATTTTTGCTTAATTTTATTCATGTTGAATACTTTGTTAAATGGTAACTATATTTTCACAAGTCTAGTCACGCATTCTAACCATGTGACCTTTAGTCCTTTATTTCTTTCTGTTCTTTTGAAATGAAAATTTGGCCTTACTTGTTACCAAGAAACCATCAATTTAATTTTATTCCATAGTTATAATTATTAGTCTTATTGGTGCTTCTACTTTAATTGTATATGGTCAAACCATCTAATATATTTTTATTATTTTTATTTTGATAATGAATCCTAATACTTTACAGACCACCTGAATACTTTCGACCAAGCAACCTCTAACTTCAAGTATTGTTGATTACGTTCAGCTTCTTCTTGTAAGAGTTTTGTTTTTCTATGAGCAACTTAATAATCATTTCCACCAGCATCATCATTAGCTTGATACTAGTATTTTGAGTTAGTATAATGGTATTTCATTCATATTGAATGCTTTGTGAAATATTAAACATAATTTAACAAGTATCGTTACACATTCTAACCATTATATCTTTTGTCCATTATTTTCTTTCTAATCCTTTCAAAATGAAAATTTAGCCTAAGTTAATCGTTACCAATAAACCATCAATTTAATTTGGTTATTCGAAAATGTCTTAATTATAATCATCAGTCTTATTTGTGTTTTTTTTAGCCGATGTAGTGGGATAAAAGTCTGTTATTTTTGTTTTTAGTCTTATTGGTGTTCTACTCTTAATTTTATATGCCCAAACACTTAGTCAATTTTTACTATTTAATCTTCAATGAGTTACGCCCTTTTCGTCTTTTTTAAATGATCCTTTCTCTCTATTATCGCCCATGTTTTCCTATTTCCATCTTACCATGTTATTTTATATTACACTCTAACTTGGCTGCTCAGGACTTATTTGTTGTCCAAAACTTGAATACTGATAAGATAGATTCAATCTTAAATGGAATACTCTTTGAGTTTCCATGATATCCTCTTACCCACTATTTTGAAAGCTCTTCTCTTTCTTACCATGTAGATTTAACTATTGTTATTATGCTCTCATCTTTATTCTCATTCTTTTATAATAACTTCAAGTTAGTTTAGACCTATTTTAACCAAGTATTACTTATCTTTCAATTATATCAAATTTTATATCACTTCTCATACACTATCGGTAAATGTTGCTCCATAGAATTTTTTTTTCTTGAAATTAACTTTATTATTCAATATTGTCGTGTTTTTTACTAGGTTTGTATATTATTGCCATCCCCATTAGTATGTTGTGTTTGATTCAACATGTAATTATCATAATTGTAAACAACCATTTTTTATTAAAGACTAATACCTTAATACTTATGTTCTAGTTTTTTATATCCTCGGTTATTAGGTTTTAATTAAACAATTTCATAAAATAATATTACAATATCTACCCTAAACCCTAAAACAGAAAATTTATCTCATGGGCCTGAAGCTTTATTTTTATGTTTCTTCAAATTTAAGTTAACCTTATTAATACATGATATAATTCAAGATTATTTCTAATTTTCTTTCCAATATTTTTTTGAACTGTTGTTTAATAATTTCTTAAAAAACATAATTGTCATCCCTTGGTCTCTTTGTTTAAGCCAAGTTTATTTTTTTATAATGCCCTTTGATGTTTACAAAGTAGTAGACCTTTGATGCTAGATGGATTAGGGTTAGTATTTTTTAATGCAATTAGAATAAAATAGTACATGTATTATCCACACAAGAAAATTTAGGATTTTTAGATCACAAACCAATAAATAAGCCTATAATTTGCTTTACTTTAAATGTTAACAATCAATATTAGAATCATAATTCAAATATTAATAAAATGGGTGAAATAAATAAATAAAATGAACAAGAATTTAGGACCATGTAAAATCAATGAGCAATCATAATTTAATTCTCACACAAGAATTTCAATTTTGCCAAATTTGAAGAAAATCAAGAGCACTAACAAGTCAACATCAAATTAGATGAAATAAGAATAAGGAGTGAAGTTATAAAATTAGGCCTTATACCGAGAAGAGTCATACTATAGTATAGCACAATTATGGTGTTAAGTAGGCAAGGGCTTGTTAAAGCATCCCCTGCTAATGAGATGCTGCCATTGTTTTAAAAAAAAATTGTAACATACGATGTGGAACCTGTTTTATTCTGATATGATAGAAATTATTCAAAATGAGATTTCTTTTAATTTTACGAGTCCATCCTTTTTCAGTATTGCGTGCTCCATGGAAACAATTGTCCAGGATTGAAACATCCATATATGCATGAGCTTCAAACATTGATATTGATGGAAGAAGTGAATACTATTGACAATATAGTTCAAAAAATATACATGTGCATAAACAAAAGTTTTAGTACTATCTGATTGTTGGCAAGACATAAGAAGTCAAACTGTCATCAACAATCCTAATGGAATGATATTTTTGAAATATGTTGATACATCTATGTTTATTAAAGATGGACCATTGCTATTCACGTTGCTTGATGATATTGTTGAGATAGTTAGAGAACATCTTGTTATTCAATTGGTTACAGAAAATGCAAGTGCATATATAACAGCCAAGAGGATGAACATCTATAATGGATTCCTTGTGTAGCCCATTGTCTCGATTTGATGCTAGAAAAGTTTGGAGACTTACCATAACATAAAAATACTTTTTACCACAACATAAAATACTTTGATTAAACGAAAAAAGAGTTAGCAATTTATCAACAGCCATAAATGGGTGTTGATTTAAATAAGACACTAATAAAGATCTTTTTAGAACATCCATCACAAATTGGCTACTGCTTATTTGACTTTATGAAGTATGATGGCGAGAGGAATCAATTAAGGCAATGTTTACTTCCCAAGAGTTGAATGCTAGTACATGAGCCAAAAATATATGAAGGAAAATACATGAAAACAATTTTCTTAAAAGATAATATTTTTTGGCTTAAAATAATTATACCAATAGCATTAATGCACGTCGTTGACATCATTGTCGACACCCATTCACTTCATTGCCTATTGTTGCGAATAATGTCAACACACACGACATCACTTATGAAGTTGATGCATGTCGTCATTACCAAATCTGACTTCTGATATCAATATCAATAATAATATAATGTATCAACATATTTCTCAATTATGTGGAAGGATAATATTTATAATGGATGACAAATACTTATAAAAGCATTTCATCTGTGTAGTGCTCTGTTTTATTTTTTATTTTTTCCTTTTTTAAGTTTTTCACGTAAAACTTTGATGTTCATTACAACTATCTTTTTATTTCTATGTATGTTGGATTTTTTAACAAAGCTAAAATGAATGTTTTATACCGTTGTGAATCTTCTGGCATGTAACAGTGATGATTCAAAACTCAAAATGAATGGTAAAAAATAGATTTAATACCTTATGTAGTACTAAAATGTATGAATACAAAATGAGGTATTAAATGCATATCATGGAGGCTTGAGATCGGAAATTCCTAAGTTCAGCCTTTCAGGTAACTTCTTTCATGATAATAAAAAAATAAATAAAGGGTAACTTCTTTCATGATGATATATATATTGGAGCAAGTACTTCTACTATATTGATTATGGATTTTGAAATGTGAACACTACTCAAAGGAGAGCTAATTCCTCAATTTGGTGATGGCAGTCTTTTTTTTTTGGTGATGGCAGTCCTAAGGGTTCCTTTTACAATTTTAGTTTCAGCAATTTCAGTTTTTAATCTTCTTTAAAGGGAATAGTGGTCCAGACACTCGGACAGTAATTTCCTGCTTTCAACCCTCTTCAAAAAAGAACTATAAACAATGCCTCCGTTGTAGTTGTTACGATTTGCTGTTACTTGTCATACCATATTATCTTATGGAGATCATGAAGCCCGCAGCATATTTTTCTCAGTTGCTGTTTGATTTCTACCCAAGCATCTGTAAATCTCAAATCAAAATCACTTCGATGTGCTTATCAAACATTACTTTGCTTTGCTCTGTAAGAGCATTAATCATCTGCGCCTATTTTTTCTCAGTTTTTAAGGCTTCGTTTGGGACGACTTTTTTTTATTACTCCTCAAAGCATTTTTTTAGTACAAAATTTTTTCTTTTTATACTAAAAAAACTACTTTAAGAAGCAACAAAAAAACTGTCTCAAACGAAGCCTAAGTCTGCACGATTCAAAGAGCACCATTTTTCTTACAAATGTAATAAAATATCTTATAATTCTGTTCTCTATGTCAGGTTTCATTGAAGGAGAAGCCACATACAATATCTCACTTGAGCTGCTAGAAGTAAAATATTTGATGTCCCTTTCCATGACCCAAAGCACCATCCATCAATTTGTCGTCTGTCTATTTGGTCAATTGTTTGGTTTGCATGCACTGTAAGCAAACCTTATTTCTTGTATCATTTGTATATTGTCTCGTCATTCGTTGATCCAATTGTAAATGACAATTATCCGATATATAAAAGAAATACATCTTTTTGATTTAGTTGCCCCCTCCGTCATTTTTCTTACTGTAGTAGCTTAAGCTTCAAAGAATTGAACTATAGATGGATAGAGGCGGTGGCTTAGTGGTTGGGTTGAGCTTCTTCCACTGTTGGGCTCGTGACTTTATTATTATTATTATGTTACTGTTCTTCCTGAACCGAACAAACAAGCCCAACCTTGACCGGTTCAGGTTTGTAGGAGGCGGGCTAAGCTGCCTCCTTAGAAAGCCGCCCAAGCATGTGGACCCCCCTAGGGCTGCAAATAGAGAGAGGGAAGGGGACGGCTAATGCATAGGAAAACTATTTTGAATTTGGTTTATTTTAGGAAGTTTTTTATTGACTTTTATTAGGAAGATATGTATTAAAAGATGAGGAGAGGCTAGGGTTATGGCATGCATGATTATTGTTTTCTCTTAGAATTCTCTTTGTGGCTTTGAGCTCTTGATTCATCATCTAGAGATTGGGAGAAAACGATCCTCCTCTTGTTCTTACTTTTGATTTGATTCCTATAATACAATCTACCGTTTTTTTATTGTTTTCATTGAAGATCTTGAAGTTTTCTCGTCAATTTCACCAATTATTATTTAGTTTACTTGCGAACTTAAGTATTTCTCATTAGGGTTACTTACTAACTCAAGTATTAAAAAGATAAATAAATAAATAAGATCAGAACAGTAGTCATGCAGCAGGCATTCCTGCAATGTACTTGCAATACTAAATTAAGCCCCTGCAACTATCTTAAGTCTGAACTACTCCTTGATTCTTCAGAGTTTGTCTTTTGCTGGCATATTCAATGCAGGTTTTGATTAATGTGGTCGGTATGAATTATTGTTTGCTTTAACTGGAAGCCATGTACTTACTCAATGTGTTAGGCCAACTACATCAATATTTCCTAATCTCAGGTCAAAAACTATCTAATCAACTACACATAGTGCAAGAATGGCCATATAATTTTAAATATGCAATGTTGTGCCTATGGTTCTCAACCAATTGCTTTATCAAGCATATAATTCAATGATTGCTGGTGACTTGGGTGTGACTTGTGGACTACCACACAAAGTGGTTTGGTGGAGCAAAATATTGGTTGGTCCAAAGTTCCATCATCATTATATTAGTTTATTAGAATGTCCCATAAGCAAATGTTTGTTCTACCCTAAGGTGCTTCCTAGTAAAGTGAGTTGGCTAACTATTTCTTTTACTAAAACATTAGAAAACTTGGTGATTTAAAAAAGTTGGCTCTAACATTTCGACCGAATTTTCGCATTCATTCGTTGGGTTGGAAAAATAAATCTCGTGTGTAAAAATGATCTTCGATATTTATACGTTGAGTTTGATTATCCATTGTGCGCATGAGAAGATAAACAAGATGCCTTGAGGGTTTCACCTCAAAAATATTTTTTAAATGTTAATCTTTGCCGAGTAAAAAGAAAACAAATAAAATTTTAGAATAATTTAGATTTCGTTGAGGATGATTTTCTTACTACTTTTTAAATTATCTTTTTAGTTTAAAATTTTCTTAAGAGCAATAAAAAAATAGTCTCAAATGAAGCTTAATCTAGCCCCTTTTAAAATAAAGAAAATCTAGGATCCTCGCCTTATCTTGTTGATGGATTATTTAGAAGCTCTTTAATAAATGTTCTTTTATTGCTTCAACAAATTTTATGATGAAATTGTAAGTTTTGTCAATTTTGAAGTTTGTGTTGAATCTGATCTTCCTATTTGATTATTAGATCACCATATTTTTGTTGATGATGAACAAATGGGCCAATTTTTATTATTATAAGATCATGCTAATAGCAAATTGAATTAAACAATTGGAATCTAACTCTAGTAGTGAGATCAACGACAAAATAATTTTTATATCAATTTTGATGATTGATTTCACATGATTCTTATAGCCATGGAGCACCTTCAAAACTAAATTGATAACCAACTCCTCTGATTCCCATTGCATAGAGAGAGAGAGAGAGAGAGAGAGAGAGAGAATTTGAATTATATTCTAGCAAATCATTGTTGACTCAAAATCAATGCAAGATGGTCAAACCAAGTACCATGGCCTGAAACTCGACCAATTAAAATAACCACTTCTCTTATTTCAAGAAGAACCAAAGCCTCCATCTCTACTATTTCCTTAACCAAATTATTTTATGGCTTCATTTGGGACGCTTTCTCGCTGCTTCTTAGAGCAGCTTTCTAGTACAAAAATTTAAAATTTTGAATTAGAAAGTAGCTTTAAGAAGCATCAAAAAAGTCGTCCTAAACAAAACCTATATCTTTCAAATCATCATTCCAATACATCAATGGTTCACCAAAACATAAAAAAAAAAAAAAAAACTATTATCCTCCTCCTATCATCTACTAAGGCTGTCGGTACCACGAATCTTCCACAACAATTATTTGCTAATGTTAACTATTATCTATTTGTTCTCACTTGAATCTGAAGAATGTGTGGATCTGGCTTACAATGGACCATCAAGAACTGCCTACAGAACTTGGAATTTTCTGTAAATCCAGCTTGATATTCCCTATTAAAAAATTCCATTTTTTTTTTCTTTTCAAGTAGGAGAGATTTAAGGCTATCTATGTTGGTCCAAAGTTGGTTCGGGCTTATTTAATTCCACTTAGGCATCTGTCCTGTAGTTAATTTATTGCGGTTCGGCTTTTTCTCAAGCAACTGTGTATTTGTATTGTGCTGTGGTAGGCCCATAATATTGGCCCAGAACTGCTAATTGTCTGGGTCGGAGTGACCCGACAATATTATAGTTTCTATTTTGAGCTTAGATTGGATCAGAAGAATAATTCAAATGCAGGTTTGACTTGAAAATGTTATTGGGTCGGGTCAGATCTGGCTCATATTCAATAAGTCAAGGGCTCGAGGTTATGGAAGTGGGCTTATTGAGAAAGGAGTAGGTTAAGTTGTTATGGAGGGCCATCTAATGCCTAATTGTCAGTGAACTAAGTGGTTTGGTAAGTAGGATTAGATTAAATAAGTTGGTGTTATGTATGATAAATTATTGTATTTAACATAAGAGAGAGATATAGAACATTTAAGTGTTTTTTGTTGTTTTTTGTTCCTTATGTATAAAAGTAAGATGAATGATTTATTTTAGATGGTTAAATGTTGGCATGTTACTTGGATAATTTTGTATAATATTGCCTCTTATATTATTATTGTCATTTATCAATCACTTACTATTATTTTTCAATAACATTCAACACTTTTGAAGAGAGGATTCTAACACTTTTGGTGATCATAAAAGAAAAAAAATATATCGTATTAATGTCTTTTATCGTCAGTTAAATAGTATGTGCGTTGATCGAATATATATATTGATTTCATGTTCATTTAAATTCTCAATAGTAGATTGAAATATACTTGCCCCTTTCTCATCATTAAAATTCTTATATAAATCAAGCATATCTCTTGGTCCTCTTACAATATTCTATAAAGAGAAGCTAAGAGGCACATCAACTTTTTTTTTATTTCTCATTGTTTTATATAATTATATATGAGGTTGGCAAGTAATAGTTTAGGTAATAACACTCATTATAAAGATTTGCAACCAATTCAGGACTTTATGTGAATAAGATTTATACAAAAATTATCTTCAAATATTCTAAAAAATATTAAGAAATTCGATATCAACTTTGCAATCAAATTGGTTAAGAGAATTAGGATCCATATATATATAATAATATCACACTAGCTTAGAGATTAATTTTTAGTATATTTTTTAGAGAATAATATCTCTATCTAGCACCCCCATCTTAACTATTAAAGGGAATTAATTAAGGTTTAGAAAAACCTCAATCTATGATTCTTAATTTTTTTTTTACTTTGTACACAATCCTTACTTTGTGTTTGAGATCACCGTTACACCCTTTGATCTTACAATATATTTATCATGGAATGCTTTCTTGTTCTTTTAAATCTCTTATTAATTGAAACTTCATCCTATACCACTCCTTTAAAATCCACGACATTTGAGTCCACAATTGCTCTCATTGTTATAAAATGTGATGTCATGTACAATTAACCATCTTTACTTGTATGTGTTATCACCATAAAACTCTCAGTCGCATTCTAAGAATTAATACATAAATATAAGATATAATATTCTTCATATTTAACTATCTAATCAAGATTAAGTTCTTTTTTAAGCTTGATAGTGCATCACATTTTAAGCTCCCACATAGTATCATTAATTATCTTGATTTGTATATTATTAACTAATATTTATTATTTAATTATTAGTAAGATGATTTTTCTTATAATCTCATAAAGAATAGATAGTCATCAATTATTTATGTAGAATAAAATGAAATGATGCACTTGAGTCCAAGATCTAAGACTTCATAGGATTATCAACACTGAATATGAGTGCATTGTATATTTCTTCATCTATAATGTTTATATAATCAGCTATTTGATTTAAAACCCAATCTCTATGAAAAAATCACTTTTTTCATATGACAAATCCAACGTACACAAATATGGCCTTTAGATTGAATCTTTTACTATTCCATAGAGATTGGGTTTTATATATATATATGGAATAGTTCTCATAACACTATGTATGATCTTCTAGTGCGACATGTTAAAGGTAATTCTCTTTATTAGTGATAAATGAACAACTTCTAACTCCTATATGTCCAAGAGGTCTTAATCCTTTTAACTAATGGTAATGGGACTTGATTTCAAGAGAAGATGTAGCCCTCCTAATAAAATATATTTTTTATCTACATCTTCCAATGCCAAAAGCTTATCATCAAACACATTGATATTGGCATTTACATCTTCAAATATCATATCTCCCACTTTTCTTGTAGAACTTTAAAACTACATTAGCTTTGATATCAATTGTTAGTAATTAACAACAAAGTATATGCATGAGAACAATAAAAGATGCGAGGACAAAAATACATATAATTTAAAACTATAAAGAAATGACCATAAAATAAATTACAGCTTAAGTCTACAAGGATGGTTCGATAATATAAT